TGCCCCACATTCCCAAATAAAAGGGCTCGGATCCGCCACTGCTCCCACCTGGAGTTCCTCATCTCCGAGGGCTTTTCCCACCTCGGCAATCCCAGAATTCCATGGAATCATTTGAGCTGTGATGACACCAAAAGTCATTCCCGGCTCCGGAGCAGTTTTTATTCCATATTAATTCTTTTTAATCCCTTTTTTCCTCCCTCATCCCACTTTTCCAGCAGAACCCAGAGGACCAAGGCTGGAATCCAACCTGAAGCCACCATGGATGGAACAAATCCATGGGTGGAAACTGAAGAGGAGGAAAAGCAACAAAATCCTGCTGGAATCTCCTGAAATCCAGGAAAATATTCCCAAATTCAGCTTTTCCTGGAGAAAAGACAAATCCAGGCCCTTCCCTTCATCTCGGATTGTCATTCCCTGCTCCCGCAGAGCCAAGGCCGAAGGGTTTGGGATCATCCCAGACATTCCCCTCTGGCGTTCTCCGTGCCTCAGTTTCCCTGTGGGCGCAGCGGGGTTTGGGTTCTCCTGCTGGCCGGGAATTGGGAGTGGAAGGATGGAAATCCCCCGGAGCTGGGACACGGATCCGCCTCCTTCCCTCCGGGCGGGAATTCCAGGGAAAACTCGGCCCTTTTCCAGGGAGGCAACTTGGGGGGATGCTCCTGGGGATATTCCAGCCCCGGCTTCCATCGGAAATGTTCCAGCCCCGATTTCTCCAGTCCCGGTTCCATTTCCCGGGAATATTCCAGCCCCGACCATCCCTCTCTCCATTTCTCGGGAATATTCCAACCCCAATTCCCCCTCTCTCCATTTCCCTGGAATATTCCAGCCCCGGTTCTCTATTTCCATCCCCCCGGGAATATTCCAGCCCCGACTATCCCTCTCTCCATTTCCTGGGAATATTCCAGCCCCGATTCCCTCTCTCTCCATTTCCCTGGAATATTCCAGCCCCGGTTCTCAATTTCCATTCCCCCGGGGATATTCCAACCCCGATTCCCCCTCTCTCCATTTCCTGGGAATATTCCAGCCCCGATTCCCTCTCTCTCCATTTCCCGGGAATATTCCAGCCCCGATTCCCCCTCTCTCCATTTCCTGGGAATATTCCAGCCCCGATTCCCCCTCTCTCCATTTCCCTGGAATATTCCAGCCCCGGTTCTCAATTTCCATTCCCCCGGGGATATTCCAACCCCGATTCCCCCTCTCTCCATTCTCGGGAATATTCCAGCCCCGATTCCCTCTCTCTCCATTTCCCGGGAATATTCCAGCCCCGATCCCGCCTGTCCATGGCCGGATTTCCCCGGGAAATGCTCCTGTCTCAGTTCCCCCTGTCCCGTTTTCCCGGTAAATGCCCCTATCCTCGTTCCCCCGGTCCCGTTTTCCCGGGGGTTGCTCCTGTCCCGTTCCTGCCGCGGGACGCTCCAGCTCCGCTTCCGCGTGTCCCGGTTCCCCCGGGAGATGTTCCCATCCCGGTTTCCCTTATCCCGTTTTCCCCGGGAGATGTTCCCGTCCCGTTTTTCCCGGGAGATGCTCCCAAACCGGTTCCCCCTATCCCGGTAACCCTGAGAAGTGCTTTTGTCCCGGTGTCCCCTGTCCCGGTACCACCGGGAGACTCGCTTGTCCCGGTCCCTCCTGTGTGGGAATTCCCGGGAGATTCTCCTGTCCCGGTCCCTCCTGTCCTGGTACCACCGGAAATTCTCCTGTCCCGGTGTCCCCAGGAGATTCTCCTGTCCCGGTCCCACCGGGAGATTCTCCTCTCCCGGTTGCCCCAGGAGTCGTTCCAGCCCCGTTTTTCCCGGAGGACGCTCCACGCCCGGTTCCCTCCTCCCCTGTCCCAGTGTCCCCAGGAGATTCTCCTGTCCCGGTTCGTCCTCTCCTGGTACCACCGGAGATTCTCCTGTCCCGGTCTCTCCTGTCTCGGTCCTACTGGGAGATTCTCCTGTCCCGGTTCCTCATATCCTGGTCCCCCAGGTACCGGTCCCACCGGGAGTTTCTCGTGTCCCGGTCCCCCTGTCTCGGTTCCCCCTGTTCGGGTATTCCCGGGAGATTCTCCTGTCCCGTTTCCCCCTGTCCCGGTTCCCCCTCTCCCGGTCCCACCGAGAGTCGTTCCAGCCCCGTTTTTCCCGGAGGACGCTCCACTCCTGGTTCCCTCCTCCCCTGTCCCGGTACCCTCGGGGAATTCTCCTGTCCCGGTCCCCCCGTCCCGGTTCCCCCCGTTCGAGTATTCCCGGGAGATTCTCCTGCCCCCGTTCCCCATGTCCCAGTACCACCGGAAATTCTCCTGTCCCGGTTACCCCAGGAGATTCTCCTGTGCCGGTCCCCCTGTCCCGGTTCCCCCTATCCCGGTCCCACCAGGAGATTCTCCTGTCCCGGTACCATCGGGAGTCATTCCAGCCCCGTTTTTCCCGGAGGATGGTCCACGCCCGGTTCTCTCCTGTCTCGGTCCCTCTGTCCCGGTTTCCCCTGTCCCTGTTCCCCTGTCCCGGTACCCTCGGGGGATTCTCCTGTCCCGCTCCCACCGGGCTAATCTCCTGTCCCGGTTCGTCCTGTCCCGGTTCCACCAGGAGTTTCTCCTGTCCCGGTGCCCCTTGTCCCGGCGTCCCCAGGAGATTTTCCTCTCCCGGTCCCCCTGTTCGAGTATTCCCGGGAGAATCTCCTGCCCCGGTTCCCCCTGTCCCGGTACCACCGGGAGATTCTCTTGTCCCCGTTCCCCCTGTCCCTGTTCCCCCTGTCCCAGTTGCCCTAGGAGTCGTTCCAGCCCCGTTTTTCCCGGAGGACGCTCCGTTCCCGGTTCCCTTCTCCCCTGCCCCGGTTCCACTGGGAGTTTCTCCTGTCCCGGTCCCCCCTGTCCCGGTACTACCGGGAGATTCTCCTCTCCCGGTTCCCCCTGTCCCGGTTGCCCCAGGAGTTTTCCAGCCCCGTTTTTCCCGGAGGACGCTCCGTTCCCGGTTCCTCCCTCCCCTGCCCTGCCCCTCTCGCGGCCCGGGGCGGGCTCGGGGCGGCGGGGGCGGCCCCGGTGGGCGGGCGGGGGCGCGGGGAGCCCGGCCCCGCTCCGGTTCCGCCTACAAAGGGCTCGGGCCGGGCGGGCCCCGCTCACAGAGCCGGGACCCCGCACCCATGGGCGGCTGCCGGGCCCCGCCGCCGCCCGGGGCGGCTCCTCGCCCTCCTCGGCCCCCGGCACCGGCCAGCGCCGGCGGGACACAGCCCGGGGACTGAGGGAAATCCCGGGAAGAGGCCGCGGGAAGCTCGGGAAATCCCGAAGGGTGAGCGGCGACGCGGCGGGGGGACACGGAGCGCCGGGAGGGGAGCGGGGTGGGCGGAGAGGGAGATGGTCCGGTTCTCCCGGGATGCTCCAGTCCCGAATTCCTGTGTCCCGGTTGTCCCGGGGGATGCTCCAGTTTCAAATTCCTGGCCCGGTTGTCCCGGGGGATGCTCCAGTTTCAAATTCCTGGCCCACTTGTCCCGGGGGATGCTCCTGTCCCGAATTCCTGTCCCGGTTCTCCTGGGATGCTCCAGTCCCGAATTCCTCTGTCCTGGTTCCCCCTGTCCCAGTAGCTCCGGTTCCTGTCCCGGTTCCTGTCTCGGTTCCTATCCTGGTTCCTATCCCGGTTCTCCCTGTCCCCGTTGCCCCGGGGGAAGTTCCTGCCCCGAATCCTTGTAGGGGATTTCTGCCCCGGCATTCCCAGGGGATGCTCCTGTCTCTGTTTACCCTATCCCGGTTCCTATCACAGTTCCTATCCCTGTTCCTATCCTGGTTCTCCCTGTCCCAGTTCCTATCCCAGTTCTCCCTATCCTGGTTCCTATCCCTGTTCCTATCCCGGTTCCTTTCCTGGTTCCCCCTATCCTGGTTCCTATCCCCATTCCCGTCCCAGTTCCTACCCCAGTTCCTGTCCCGGTTCTCCCAGTCTCAGTTCCTATCCCAGTTCCTATCCCAGTTCCTATCCCAGATCCCTTATCCCAGTTCCTATCCCAAATCCCCTATCCTGGTTCCTATCCCAGTTCCTATCCCGGTTCCTATTTCGGTTCCTATCCTGGTTTCTATCCCTGATCCCCTATCCCAGTTCCTATTCTGGTTCCTGTCCCAGATCCTCTATCCCAGATCCCCTATCCCAGTTCCTCTAATCCCAGTTCCTATCCCAGTTCCTATCCCAGTTCCTATCCCAGTTCCTATCCCAGATCCCCTATCCTCATTCCTATCCCAGTTCCTATCCTGGTTCATATCCCAGATCCCCTATCCCAGTTCCTCCAATCCCAGTTCCTATCCCAGTTCCTCCAATCCCAGTTCCTCCAATCCCAGTTCCTGTCCCAGATCCCCTATCCTGGTGTCCCGGGTCAATCTCCACCTGGAGTTTCTCCCTATCCCACTTCCCCCTGGACACTCCTGCCCCCATTTCCCATCCCCATTTCTGTGGGGAATTTGAGACCCCTCTGGAATTCCCGGATGGATTTTCCCCCTTGGAAGTGGGACTGGAGCTGGGAGTTCTGCTGGTGTAACTGGGGTGGGGGTGACAAAACCCCAGCAGCACTAAATTCCCAGGGAAAACAGAATCCATGGATCTCTGCCTGCCCCAAACCCCGTCCAGCCAGCCTGGGACACTGACAGGGATCCTCTGGGAATTCCAGCCCAGCCAGGAATCCCTTCCCAAGATCCCACCATCCCAAGCTCCCTTTTCCCACTGGAAGCCATTCCCTGCCTCCTGCCCCTCCAGCCCTTGCCCAAATCCCAGCTCTCCTGGAGCCCCTTTGGGATGGGGAAGCGGCTCCAAGGATTCCCTGGATCCTTCCCTGATCCAGCTGCACATTCCCAGCTCTCCCAGCCCTGCAGCAGCTTCATAGTCTCCTCTCCAGCTCCCTGTCCCGCTGATTTCGGGATCCCAATTCCAGGTGGGCTCTCACCTGCTCCATCCCAATGCAGGAGCCAGGATTGGGATTGGGATTGGGATTGGGATTGGGATTGGGATTGGGATGTGCCAAGGCCCCGTGGGACATTCCTGTTTCTCTCCAGCAGGATGGAGAACAAGGCCGTGGATCTCCACACCTTCTCCGAGAGGGAGAACGGATCCGTCCTGGAGGAGCCCTTCGAGGGACGGAGCCTTTCCAAGCTGAACCTCTGCGAGCACGGTGAGGGCGGATCCGCCTCCGGATCCACTCGGGATTCACCTCTGGATCCACTCCAGGATCCCCTGGGGATCCACATGTGGATCCTCTTCTGGATCCAGCTCTAGTTCCACCTCTGGATCCACTCCTGCATCCACCTCCAGATCAAACCTAGGATCCACCTCCAGTTCCACCTCTGGATCACCCCAGGATCCATCCCTGGATCCACCTCCAGTTCCACCTCTGGATCCACCCCAGGATCCATCCCTGGATCCACCTCCAGATACACCCCTGGATCCACCTTGGGATCCACTTCTGGATCTGCCCCCAGATCGTCCCCCTAGGATCTCCCCTAGGATCCACCCTGGATCTGCCTCCAGATCCATCCCAGATCCACCCTGGGATTCCCTCGGGATCCACCTTTGGATCCACCTCTGGATCCACCCCAGGATCCACCTCCAGATCCCCCCATTATTCACCTCAGGATTCACCTTGGAATCCACCTCAGGAGCTACCTCAGGATTCACCCTGGATCCACCTTGGGATCCACCCCGGATCCATGGTGGGACTGGGAGTGCACAGATCTCCCAGGAAGGAGCTCTGGATGTGGCTCCTCGGGTGCAGGGATGAGCTCCGTGCTCAGTTCCACATTCCAGCCGGGATTCCCGGCCCTGGGAATGGTGGATTCTGTGGTTGGAGCAGCACCAGGAGTTGTCCTGGCCCTGGCCCAGGTTTTCCAGGGATTCTGCAGCTCCCCCATCCCTGGGAGTGTCCAAGGAAAGGTTGGATGGGGCTTGGAGCACCTTGGGATCATGGGAGGTGTCCCTGGGATGGGATTCCCACCCAAACCATTCTGGGATTCTGGGATCAAGGATGCTCAGGATCCATTCTGAGGGATTTTTATGGAATCCGGGGATGGAAAAAGGAAGGGAGACCCTTCCTGGAGTCCCAAATTCCCAGTGAAGCCCCTGGATCCCAAAATTCCTTCTCAAGGAGGAGATGGGATGGGGCTGGATCCAATGCCAGGCTGGGAGAACTGGGAATGTGCAGCTGGATCAGCGCAGGATCCAGGGAATCCTTGGAGCCGCTTCTCGATCCCCAAGGGGCTCCAGGAGAGCTGGGATTTGGGCAAGGGCTGGAGGGGCAGGAGGCAGGGAATGGCTTCCAGTGGGAAAGGGGAGCTTGGGATGGTGGGATCTTGGGAAGGGATTCCTGGCTGGAAGGGCGGGAGGGGCTGGCTGGGCTGGGAACATCCAGCTCGGGATAAATTCCTCCTGGGAATGCTGCAAGGGGCTCATGGAGGTGACTCCGAGGGGATCTGTGGGAGTGGGGACAGTTTTGGATCCAGAGGGAGAATTCCCCATCCAGGAGATCCCTGAGTGTTGATCCCATTCCCAACATCCCTGCTCCTGCCTCTTCCCAGCTTCCCGATCCTGCTGTTCCCATCCCTTCCCACTGGGAAACCGCTGGAAAAGCCGGAGCCCCCCAGGACCGATCCCAGAATTCCCAGCAAATCCCTTGCCCTGGGAAAGGCTGGAGGTGCCTCCCTGGCTTTGGGGTTTGATGGAATTCTGGAATTCCAGATTCCCTGGAATTCTCGGGGCTCATCCCAAGGCGAGGCTGACCCTCCAGGGAACCCCATTCCCACGGGAGCGGGATTTCTGGGAAGGGACTGGAATAAAGTCACCCCCTGAGGTTGGAACCACCCGGATCCCGCCCGAATTCATGGAAAACTCCAACTGGGGGGTCGAGGATCAATCGGGAGCATGATCCAAACCTTCTGCTGGCCCAGGAACGCCATTCCCGGACCTTTTCCAGGGTTTCGGGGACCCCAAATCCCTGAATCCCGCTTGTTTTCCTCCTCCCGCTCCCTGGAGCCTGGGCAGGGGCAGGAAATGTTCGCTTTTCCTTGGATCCCGGCCCTTTGCACGCTTCCAAGGGCCGGGAATGGGAGTGGGTGGATCGGGGCGCGCCGCCAGCTCCGCCCGGGGTGTCCCTGGGAGCCGCTGCAAGTGCGAAATGTCAGGAAAACATCGGCGCCCTCCTCGTCCCGCGGCTCCATCCCGGGAATTGCGGGCGGGGAGCGGGGGATGAGATCCAGCTGGAGCATCCCGGATCCCACCTGAGCCGCGTTCCCGCAGGATCCATCCCGGAGCTCAATCCCGAGCCCCCAAAGCCGGGCAGGGTTTCGGGATCCGCCCGCCGTAACCCTTTCCCGGCTGGAGCCTTTTCCAGCCATCCCCGTTTTCCCGGGATGGACACACGGGGACAAGGATGGCGTCCGGGAGGGTCCCTGGAATTGGGGATCCCCCCATCCAGGGGTTCCATCGCTGGAATTCCAGGGAGCAGCGAGATCCCACCTGGGCATTGCCCGGCAGGGATGGGCCAGGCTGGAGCTGGGAATCGCCATGGGATGGGATCTCCCAGCAGGAGATGGGAATTTCCATGGGATAGAATTCCAAATCCCAGCAGGGCTGCTCCAGGCTGAGTCCGGCCGTGGATCAGTGCTGTCTTCATCCAGGAGGTTTGGAGGAGGATCCCTGAGGGATGAGGGGCTCTGGATCGGAGCCTCGGAGCTCCAAGGAGAACAAAACACCAGGATGGAGGCTCCAGGTGGGAATTCTGGGTTTTTCCTCCATCTTCCATTGGTGTCTCCTTGGAGAAACTCAGATTTGGGAAAGGGCAAATGGAGCCGGAGTAAAAATGTGAGAAAATCTGCTCCCAGAACCCCGGTATTCCTGCCAGGATCCAACAGGGAATGCTGGGTGGGAAGAGACCTTCAAACTCATCCCATTCCATGGGCAGGGACAATTCCCACTATCCCAGAGTGCTCCAAGTCCATCCAGCCTTTCCTGGGACACTCCCAGGGATCCTCTGGGAATTCCAGCCCAGCCAGGAATCCCTTCCCAAGATCCCACCATCCCAAGCTCCCCTTTCCCACTGGAAGCCATTCCCTGCCTCCTGCCCCTCCAGCCCTTGCCCCAAATCCCAGCTCTCCTGGAGCCCCTTGGGGATCAGGAAGCGGCTCCAAGGATTCCCTGGATCCTTCCCTGATCCAGCTGCACATTCCCAGCTCTCCCAGCCTGACATTGGATCCAGTCCCATCCCGACTCTTCATTGAGAAGGAATTTCGGGATCCAGGGTTTTCACTGGGAATCTCAGGACTCCAGGGAGGGTCTCCCTTCCCTTTTCCATCCCTGAATTCCATAAAAATCCCTCGGGATGGATCCCAAGCATCCTTGATCCCAGAATCCCAGAATGGTTTGGGTTGGATCCATGGACCTTCAATCCCATCCCAGGGACCCTTCCCACCATCCCAGGGTGATCCTAATCCACCCTTGGACGCTCCCAGGGATCCAGGGATTCTCTGGGAATCCCAGCCCAGCCAGGAATCCCTTCCCAAGATCCCACCATCCCAAGCTCCCCTTTCCCACTGGAAGCCATTCCCTGCCTCCTGCCCCTCCAGCCCTTGCCCAAATCGCCCAAATCCCAGCTCTCCTGGAGCCCCTTTGGGATGGGGAAGCGGCTCCAAGGATTCTCTGGAGCTCAGGATTTTCCTTGGAGCTGCATCCCACGGGATTTGCCTGCTGGGAGCCCCAGCCTGGATCCATCCCAGCAGGTCCAGAAGATCCCAGAATGGTTTGGGTGGGATCCACGGACCTCCAATCCCACCCCATCGCAACACCTCCCACCATCCCAGGTGTCTCCAATCCCACCCAACCTTTCCTTGGCCATCCCAAGGGTGGAGCCTTGGGGATGATCCCAGCCATTCCCACGGCATTCCAAGGCCTCCATGACCCCGTGTCCTGCTCCATCCCGCAGATCCCGGCCGCAGGATGAGGCCCTGGGGGTGCCGTGGCCGTGTGGGCTCCGTGGCCGCGCTGAAATATTCCGTGGTGGGACTTTACCTGCTGGTGCTCCTCATCCTGGTGGGAATCTTCATCCTGGCAGGTGAGGCTGGGCCTGGGGTGCTCCCAGGACTTCCAGGAGCTTCCATGGCCTTGGAATTCCTGCACGGGAGGGTTTTCCAGGTCATCCAGGGGAGGGAATGTCGGGATCCAGCAGGGAAAAGAAACCCAAACAAAAACCACCCCGAAATCTATAAAAAAACAGTAAAAACCCTGAAGAACTCAAAAAAAAAATCCCCCCAAAATATCCCAAAAACCCATAAAAATCCCCAAAGAATTAAAAAAAAAATCCCCCCAAAAAATCCCTAAACCCCATTAAAAAACCCCTAAGAATTCTAAAAAGTCCCCAAAAACCCCCAAAACCCATAAAAACCCATGAAAAGCCCCAAATAATTCTAAAAGCAAAATCCCCCAAATAATTCCCCAAAAAACCCAAAACCCTATTATAAACACTAAAGAATTAACCCCCCCAAAAACATTAAAACCCCCAAAATCCATTAAAAGCATCAAAGAATTTTTAAAAATCCCTAGAAAACCTCAAAAAACTTTCCTAAATAACCCCAGAAAACCCCAAAAACTCATTGAAAACCCCAATAAATTAAAAAAAAACCAAAAAATCCTAAAATACTACAAAAATCTGTAAAACACCACAAAGAATTCTAAAAGAATCCCACAAAAAAATCCTCAAAACACCCCAAAAACCAATTGAAAACCCCAAAGAAGTAAAAAAAATCCCCAAAAACTCCACAAAAATGCAAAGCCCCATAAAAAATCCCAAAGAATTCTAAAAAAATCCCCCCCAAAAACCCTCAAAACCCATTGAAAACCCCATTAAAAAACACAAAGAATTTGGAAATAAAACCCCAAAAAAGGTCCCAAAAAACCCCCTAAAACCCCAAACCCCCATTTAAAAAATCTCAAAGAATTCAAAAAGTCCCCCAAAAAATCCCCAAAAAACCCCAGAATTCCAAGGGATCCCAGGCTTGGTCCCCCCCTTGCCCTCCTGGAAGAAATTTGGGAATTTCCCGCTTTAACCCCCAGTCCCGGGATCTCCCTCGATGGGTAGGAAATGCCACCTCCATGGATCCATCCCTCCTTCCCGGAGTTTATCCCGCTTTTCATGGTGGGGAGGGATGTGAGCCCCCCCTTTTCCATCCCCCAATCCCCCCGGCTGCTCTCCAAGGGCTGGGAAAGGCCAGAGAAGATTTTCCTGGAATTTCAGGGCCTCTCCCGCCGATTTCTCACCATGCATTGTTTGGATGTTGTTGTAAAAACCCCCCAAAAAAAACTCTAAAGAATTTGGAAGAAAAAACCAAAAAAACCCTCCCAAAAACGCCAAACCCCCATAAAAAAAATCCCAAAGAATTCAAAAATGCCAAAAAAATCCAAAAAAAAGGGCTGGGAAAGGCTGGAGAAGATTTTTCCTGGAATTTCGGGGCCTCTCCCACCGGGCATTGTTTGGATGTTGTTGTTGGCCGGCGGATCCCACAGCGAGGGATGCGATGGATCCGGGACAAGCTCCGGTCCAGGAACAACAACAACATCAACCTCTGGCACTGGGAATCTCCCAATTCCCACCTCCCGGAGCAGCGGGACTGGCGGGATTCCAGGAAAACCCCGGGAAAACCATTCCAAGTTGTTGCCCAAAATCTTGAAAAAGGGGAGCAGGGGGAAATCAGGGAAATCATCTCCGTGGCTGCGGCTTTCAAATTCCAACTTCAAATTTCTTTCAAAGTTTTGGAATTTTGGGATTTTAAGCCTAGCCTCTGGATCTGGATGTGGCCAAGTGCTGGAATTTTTAGCTGGGGGTGTCCAGGGGGGTTTATCCCACAGGGATGGGGTGGGATAAAGGGGTCACATCCAGCCATGGGGACACAGCCCCAGCTCCGGGCACTGGAGCTGCTGGTCCTTGGAAAACTGGGAATTTTCATGGACACCTCTCAGGCCGGAAGGCTGAGATTTCCCATGGAAAATCCCTTCCTGGGCTCCTGGAGACAGGAATTCCTCTCCAGCTCCATCTCCCACATGAGGGGAAGGGGCTTGAAAAATGCATGGAATCATGGAATGGTTCTTGTGGGAAGAGACGTGGAAGGATCTCAAATTCCATAGGGACAATTCCCACTGTCCCAGGATGCTCCAAGCCCCGTCCAACCTGTCCTGGAATGTTTTGGGGTGGGTTTGGCCGGGAATTGTTTGGGATCCAGCTGGGCCACGCGACTTTCCTTGGAAAAGAGGTTGGGGAAAGGGTCAGCGGCACAAATCCAAGGAAACACCTCGGGATCCAGCAGGAAAAAACAAAACAAAACAAAAACCACAAAAACCCATAAAAAACCCAGAAGAAACCCCAAAGAATTCGAAAAAATCCCCCCAAAAACCCCCAAAACACCCCAAAACCCCATAAAAGCCCCCAAAGAATTAAAAAAAAATCCCTAGAAAACCTCCAAAAAAATCCCCCAAATAATCCTAAAAAACCCCAAAAACCCATAAAAACCACCAAAGAACTAAAAACAAACTCCAAGAACCCCCCCAAAACCTGCAAAACCCCATTAAAAAACCCCAAAGAATTACAAAAAAATCCCCCCAAAAATCTTAAAACATCCCAAAAATCCATAAAAAACGCCAAAGAATTCTAAAAAGATTCCCCCCAAAAAAACTCTAAAAACCCATTAAAAACCCCAAAGAATTAAAAAATAATTCCCCCCCCCCAAAAAAAACCCAAAACCCTCCAAAACCCCATTAAAAAACCATTAAAACCCATAAAAAACCCAAAAGAATTAAAAAAAAAATTCCCAGTGGGAACGGGATGTTTTCCTCTCCAGAGCTGGAGTTTCCCACATGGATCTCAGGTGGCGCCTGGGAATTCCCATTTCCTGTATCCCCACCATTGATCCCCCAATCCACTAAAAATCCTCTGAACCTGTGGCTGGGAATCTGATCTCCAACTTTTTCATGGAATTGTGGAATCGTTGAGGTTGGAAAACTTCCTTGGACCCCCTGCATTCCAACCATTCCCCTGATCCATGTCCCCAGGGATTGAAATCCCTGTGGGAATTATCCTGGCACATTCCAGGGCTCCTGCCTCCCCTTTCCCAAATTTTGGTGAGTGCGGGGATGGCAAAGCCCCTTGGGAATGCCTGGAATTCCCACCCAGCCCCTCGGCACAACCTTTTTCCTGAGGGAATTGTTCCGAATTCCAACCTGAACTTTGCCCAGCGAAACTTGGGGCTGTTCCCTCTGGTGGTTCGTAAATATCCCAAATATCCCAAAGTTTTTCCCCAGGGAATGTTTTTCCCTGTAGTTTCCCATCCTTCCCGTGGGATCTGCTCCACCTGAGCCTCCTCAATCCCTCAGATCCCTCCCAGGAATTCCGGGGACCAACTGGGATGAGCAGAGGGAACTGAACCCTGCGCCATTCCAGGAGGAGAATCCTGGCTGGAATTCTGGGACAAACTGTGGGATTCAGCAACGGGGATTGGGAAGATGCCTGGAAGAACCCGATTCCAGCTTGGACAGGGACAGGGGGAGGTGTCAGGGCTGGGATGGGGTGGGATTGGAGGTCCCTTCCCACCCAAACGATCCCGGGATGCTGGGATGGATCCAGGCTGAGGTTCTGTGTCCCAGCAGAGAAATCCCATGGGATGCAGCTCTCAGGGACCAAAGGAAAACCCTGAACTCCAGGGAATCCTTGGAGCTACTTTCCAAGCCTCAAGGGGCTCCAGGAGAGCTGGAATTTGGGCAAGGGCTGGAGGGGCAGGAGCCAGGGAATGGCTTCCAGTGGGAAAGGGGAGCTTGGGATGGTGGGATCTTGGGAAGAGATTCCTGGCTGGGCTGGAATTCCCAGAGAATCCCTGGGAGCGTCCAAGGGTGGATTAGGATCACCCTGGGATGGTGGGAAGGGTCCCTGGGATGGGATTGAAGGTCCATGGATCCCATCCCAAACCATTCCAGGATTCTGGGATCAAGGACACTCAGGATCCATCCAAAGGGATTTTTATGGAATTCAGGATGCAAAAGAGAAGGGAGACCCTCCCTGGAGCCCCAAATTCCCAGGGAAGCCCCTGGATCCCGAAATTCCTTCTCAAGGAGGAATCGGGATGGGGATGGATCCAATGTCAGGCTGGGAGAGCTGGGAATGTGCAGCTGGATCAGGGAAGGATCCAGGGAATCCTTGGAGCCGCTTCCCCATCCCAAAGGGGATCCAGGAGAGCTGGGATTTGGGCAAGGGCTGGAGGGGCAGGAGGCAGGGAATGGCTTCCAGTGGGAAAGGGGAGCTTGGGATGGTGGGATCTTGGGAAGGGATTCCTGGCTGGGCTGGAATTCCCAGAGAATCCCTGGATCCCTGGGAGTGTCCCAGGAAAGGCAGGATGGGCTGGGATCACCCTGGGATCATGGGAATTGTCCCTCTCCAGGTGGAACAGGATGAGCTTTATGGTTCCTCCTCACCCAACCCATCCCAGGACCCTCCAGCCCTTCTCCAGCACCGCCCTCCTTCTCCAGCCTTGGATCACTTGGATGGGAGGAACCTTCTGGGCTGGGAACTTCCCCTCCAGGCACCCAGGAACTGGGAATGTCCTTGGGAGGACACCCCAGGGTCCCTCCTGACCTCCCACCCTCCTCCTCCACCACAGTGTCCCGGCCCCAGGCATCCCCTGAGGAGCTGAAGGCGCTGATGGGGAACGTCCAACGCCTCAACGAGACCTTCCGGGACTTTCAGCTGCAGCTGCTGCCGCGCCCCCCGCCCCAGGGCGACCTCCTGGAGCACGTCTGGAGGCTGCAGGACCTCCTGCAGAACCACTCGGACTCGCTGCTGCTGCTCTCGGCCTCGCTGCAGAGGCTGCAGGCGCTGCTGCGGGCGCTGCAGAGCCAGGCCGGACAGACGGACAGCTCGCTGCAGCGGCTGCGGGACTCGCTGGGCCGGCAGAGCGACGCGGCGCAGCTGGAGCTGTCGCGGCTCTCGGTGGAGGCCAACAGCAGCCGGCTGCTCCTGGAGCACCACCAGCACCTCCTGGGACACCTGGGCGGGCGGCTGGAGGCGCTGGGCGAGCAGGCGGCGGCGCTGGGCGCGGCGGTGGAGTCCATGAACCGCAGCTTCTCCTACGACCTGCGCCTGCAGCGCTCCCGGCTCCGGGACCTGCAGGGGCTCCTGGGCAACGCCAGCGCCGACGGGCGCAGGATGAGGGCGGCGCACGGGGCCATGGAGAGGCAGCTGAGGCTGGAGCTGGCCCTGCTCAACAACGTCACCGAGGAGCTGCGCATGAAGGACTGGGAGCATTCCGTGGCGCTGAGGAACATCTCCGTGATCCGGGGTGAGTGCGTGGTGGGAACGCTGTGGAACGTCTCTGTGATCTGGGGTGGGAACGTTCCAGAACATCTCTGTGATCCGAGGTGAGTGCATGGTGGGAACGATCTGGAACGTCTCTGTGATCCGGGGTGGGAACATTCCAGAACATCTCTGTGATCCGGGATGAGTGAGTGGTGGGAATGATCTGGAATGTCTCCGTGATCTGGGGTGAGTGGTGGGAATGCTGCAGAACGTCTCCGTGATCCGGGGTGAGTGAGTGGTGGGAACATTCCAGAACATCTCTGTGATCCGAGGTGAGTGCATGGTGGGAACCATCTGGAACATCTCGGTGGTCTGGGGTGGGAACATTCCAGAACATCTCCGTGATCCGGGGTGAGAGGTGGGAACATCTCCGTGATCCGGGGTGAGTGGTGGGAACATCTCAGTGATCCGGGTGAGTGAGTGGTGGAAACGCTGTGGAACATCTCTGTGATCCGGGGTGGGAACCTTCCAGACCATCCCCGTGATCCGGGGTGAGTGAGTGGTGGGAATGATCTGGAACGTCTCTGTGATCTGGGGTGAGTGGTGGGAACAGTCTGGAACATCTCCCTGATCTGGGGTGAGTTGTGAGAACGCTCCTTAACAGATCCAGGGTGAGTGGTGGGAATGCTCTGGAACACCTCTGTGATCCAGGGTGAGTGGTGGGAACAGTCTGGAACATCTCCATGATCCGGGGTGAGTGGTGGGAACACTCCGGAACATCTCCGTGATCCGAGGTGAGTGCATGGTGGGAACGATCTGGAACCTCTCTGTGATCCAGGGTGAGCGAGTGGTGGGAATACTCTGGAACATCTCCGTAATCCGGGGTGAGTGGTGGGAATCCTCTGGAACATCTCTGTAATCTGGTGTGAGTGGTGGGAATGATCTGGAACATCTCTGTGATCCAGGGTGTGTGGTGAGATCAGGAATGGTCCCCATGGGATGTGTCTGTGAGGGGTCAGGGATTGGAGAATCCCTGGATTCTCCAGTTGGAGAACAGCTCCAGTGGAGTTGCTGAGGTTGGAAAGGCTCTCCAAGGTCGTGGAGTCCAGCTGGTCGCCACCACTAATCCATGCCCCCCCAAATCCAAGCGGACTTTAATCCCATCAGGGATGGGGATTCCAAACCACCCTGGGCCTGTCCAACCCTTCACAGCCCTTTCCATGAAGGAATTGTTCCCAATATCCAGCTAAACCTTCTCTGGTGCAGCCTGAGGACCTTTCCTCATCCCATTTCTTGTTTCTTGGGAGCAGATCCCAGCTCCCAACCAGCTCCAACTATTCATGAAGTTGTGGAGAGGGAAAAGGTCCCCCCTGAGCCTCCTTTTCTCCATCTCAGCCCCTTCCCAGCTCCCTCAGCCCCTCCTGGGGCTCCATTCCCTTCCCAGCTCCGTTCCCTTCCCTGGACACGCTCCAGCCCCTCCAGGTCTCTCCAGTCAGGAAGGTCCCAGATCCATCCCCATCCATCCCCACTCAGGTGTCTCCATGCCCTTGGACTCTCCAAATATTCCCCGTCCATGGTTTGGAAGGAATCTCCCAAGGTTCCCTCAAAGCTGCCAGGAAAAACCAACCTCCCCCATCCCATCTTCTCTTCATTTCCCACCCTCAGCCCTTCCCAAATCCCGGAATTGTTGGGGTGGGAAGGGCCCTTAAATCCCATCCTGTTCCAACTCCAACACCCCCCACTGTCCCAGGCTGCTCCCAGCCTTGTCCAGACTGGCCTTGGACACTTCCAGGGATCCAGGGGCAGCCCGAGTTTCTCTGGGAATGCTGTGCCAGGGAGGAGGAAATCCATGGAGAAACCCAGGAGATCCCAGTGGGAGCTCCAGGGCGGAGCAGGAGGTTGGGAGCAGCTCCTGCCCCGTTTTCCACCTGCTGCACCTGCGGAGACCCCACGGGCTGTTGCTCATTCCTGATGCTTCCAGCAGGAATTCCAGGGTCCCACTCCAGATCCCACTCCGGATCCCACTCCGGATCCCACTCCAGATCCCACGGATTCCTACAGAGCATTCCCAGATCCCAATTCCTGATGCATTAAAACACATCCCTGCCCTTCCTGCCCCTTTTCCAGCTCCCAGAGCCCTGGCTGAGTCTCAGCTTCCCGAATTCCCGGCTTTTAGGATTTCTTGGAAAACAGTTCCCAGTCCTCGCCCTGGATGGGTGGGAATGACCCTTCCCGGCCTCTCCCTGCCCTGTTGCCTCTCATCCCAGGAATATTTTTTTCCCCTGTTATTTTTTTTCCCCAAATTCCCTCTTCCCGGTGTTTTGTGTCCCGATTATTTTCAGCTTTTGGGATTGGAGCCTTTGCAGAATGAGGGATGTATTTTGCTGGAATTCCAGCTGGAGTTCCAAGGCCAGGGAATTCCAGTGCCAAGTGTCCCCTTTTTCCAGCTGCTGAGCTGCAGGGGATGGATGTGGTGGATCCCCAGGAGCTCCAGGAGATCCATCCCTCTGGAATACCAACAGCTCCTGGGGTGCTGCCCCTCATCCCGGGGGACCCTGGCTCCCGATCCCTGTTTTTGGGATGTTTTTGGGATGTTTTGGGATGCTGGGATCACCCTGCCCCAATCACTTCAATATTTCCCTATTTCCCCACTCTTGGATCCCGCTTTTCCCTCCCCATCCATGGGAATGACGTCACCTGCTCTGGGATGAAGCCACCAAGGGTGGGACGCGTCTCGGAGCCCTGGAATCGCGTTATCCCAAACCAGACCCCTCCCCAAGGGCCGGCACCGGATTTATCAGCCCTGACACATTCCTGGCATCCCAAACTTCCCTCTCCTCCCATCCCATGGATGATTCCTGGGGCCTCGTGCCCAGCTGGATCCATCCCAGCTCCAGATGTCCTTGGGTGAGTCCGTCCTGTTCCCGGCTGGGTTTGGCCGAGCCCTTCCCTGCCTGCCTGGGGAGGCCTTTTCCTTCTCCCCAAATCCTCGGCTATCCTGGATCCTGGAATTGGGTGGTGGCAGCTTGGGAAGGTCCCCAGGCTCCTCTCCAGCATCCAAGGATTGCTCCAAGCACCTCCCGTGGCTCGGGAAGGACAACACGGAGGAGTTTTGGGAGACTTTCAGAGTTTTGGGAATTTCGGGAGTTTTTGGTGACTCCCATCTTGGGAGTCATCACGAGGGAGAATTCCTGGGATCTGCTCAGTGGATCCCTGGGTGGGATGTCCTGGATCCCAGCAGGTCCCAAAGGTGACAGGACAGTCCCATCCCTCAGGAAATGCCTCATCCCTCTGGGATTGGAGGGTGGGAAGCAGGAATGGGATTTTCCAGATGTGATCCTCGGGAGCTGTGGCGTGGGAAGAGCTGGGAATGCTCCGGAGCCTCTCCCAGCCAACATTCCCGGTTTTCCTCCAGCCCAGCTGCTCCCCGGGTCCCAAGAGCTGCTCCTGGGATGGGACCGTCCCCAGGAGCATTCCAGAAAATCTGAGGCTGCCCCATCCCTGGAAGTGCCCATCCCAAGGTTTGGGATCCATCCCAAGGTCTAGGGTCCATCCCAAGGGTCTGGGGTCCATCCCAGGGATCCAGAGTCCATTCCCAGGATCCAGTGTCCATCCTCAGGATCTGGGGTCCATTCCCAGGATCTGAGGTCCATTCCCAGGGTCTGGGGTCCATCTCTGGGATCTGGGGTCCATCCGAAGGGTCTGGGATCCATCCCCGGGATCCAGTGTCCATCCCCGGGATCTGGGGTCCATCCCTCATCCCCTCAGCCCCTGGAGCTGTTCATTCCCTGGGAAAGAGACAGCCAGGGCCAGTAATTCCAAGTTTCCCATCATCCTTTCCTATTCCAAACCATCTCCAGTTGGGATGCTTCCCAACCTTGACGTGGTTCAGGATCCCACTCCAGATCCCACTCCGGATCTCACAGATTCCTACAGAGCATTCCCAGATCCCAATTCCTGATGCATTAAAACACATCCCTGCCCTTCCTGCCCCTTTTCCAGCTCCCAGAGCCCTGGCTGGGTCTCAGCTTCCCGAATTCCCGGCTTTTAGGATTTCTCGGAAAACAGTTCCCAGTCCTCCCCCTGGATGGGTGGGAATGACCCTTCCCAGCCTCTCCCTGCCCTGTTTTCTCGCAACCCAGGAATATTTTTTTTCCCCTGTTATTTTTGTCTTCAAACCCCTTGTTCCCATTGTTTTGGCTGCTCATTGTTTTCAGCTTTTGGGATTTGAGCCTTTGCAGGATGAGGGATAAAACCCAGGATTGGGATTTTGTGTGCCTTCCTGGGATTTCACCAAAATCCCGCTGTCAATCCTCTCCTCAGGGATCATCTCCAGAATTCCCAGAGCATCATCCCGGCTGGACAAATGGAAAGTGTCCCTGTCCCTGGATGATCCTTAATATCCTTTCCAAGCCCCAAACTTCCAGGATCCTATGAACATTCCCAAAATGCATATTTTCCCTGATTTCTTGCAATCATTTCATTGGAAATGTCCCGGCTTTTGGTCCAAAGGAAAATTCCCAGAGTCGTGCTCAAGGTAGAGCTTCCAGGTGAATTTTCCTGGCACTTGGAGCAGGTTGGTGGGATCCAGCTTGGAAATTCAGATCCACAAATCCCGGAAGTTTAAAATCAGGGAAAACTGCTTTGTCCTGGCTTTGTTCCCACGTTTCTTGGTGATCCTGGAGCTCCTGGAACTCCTGCTGCAAATTCCTGACTCCGGGATGTGATCCTGGTTCTTCTGGATCTCCTGCTGCACATTCCCAACTCTGGGATGTGATCCTGGATCTCCTGGAGCTCCTGCTGCATATTCCCGACCCCGGGATGTGATCCTGGATCTCCTGGATCTCTTGGAGCTCCTGCTGCACATTCCCAATATTGGGATGTGATCCTGGATCTCCTGGAGCTCCAGCTCCACATTCCTGACTCTGGGATGTCGTCCTGGATCTCCTGCTGCACATTCCCAACTCCGGGATGTGATCCTGGTTCTTCTGGATCTCCTGCTGCACATTCCTGACTCTGGGATGTCATCCTGGATCTCCTGGAGCTCCTAATGCACATTCCTGGCTCCGGGATGTGATTCCCGCCCTTCCGTTGTGTTCCAGGGCCGCCGGGACCCAAAGGAGACCGAGGCACGGAGGGGATGGAGGGGGAACCCGGCCTGCCCGGCCTCCCCGGGCTCCGAGGTAAGGAAAACATTCCCGGTATCCATAAAACCCCTCCCAAACCCCATCCTGAAATATCCCGGCTGATCCAAACCCACCGGGGCAGCCCCCGGTGATCCCCACCCATCCCTTGGGATGTCCCAGCTCCTGAGGGACACCAGGATGGATCTGCTCTCTTGGATCCTGGAACATCCATCCTGGAGGGAAAAACCTCACGGCCTGCCCGGCTCCAGGAAATCCATGCTGATATTCCCAGATTTCCAGGGTGTCCCAGCCAGGCTGGAGCAGGAATTGGCCACCCCATTCCCAAATGGAGCTTTCCAAGGCACCAGGGCTGGAATTGCTGCTGGATCCCTCCAACAGATCCCGGGAATCTGACAGAGGGGCCTTGGCTCCGAGATTTTTCCAGAATTTTCTTTTTCCAGTGCCAATAATGCCGATTTCCCCACCCTCCCTTCTCAATTCCATTGTTTTGAGGAGGAATTCCATTGGAAGCCACCAGAGGACATTCCCACCCTGAGGAAGACTTGGCTCCAGCTGTTTCTGATTTGAAGGAAACCTGGGAATGCTGGCTCTGCTTCCAAGGGCTGGGAATGGCACGGAGCAGGGGCAGGATCCCCCCGGGGACAACTTTGTCCCGTGGAGGTGACGGGATCCATCCTGCCGGGAGCAGGGATCCACTGGGATCCTGCAGCATGGAGCTCCAGGGCCAGGACCAGAGCCAGGTTTGGATCCAGATCCAGGTCCAGGAGCAGGTCCAGGTCCAGATGTGGATCCAGATCCAGTTCAACGGCTAGATCCAGATCCAGATGTGGATCCAGATCCAGATCCAGATCCCGATCCAGCTTTGGACTCATACCCAGGTTAAAGTCCGGGTCCAGGTTTAGGTCCAGATCTAAGTCCAGGTTCAGGTCCAAGTCCAGGCCCAGATGTCAATCCAGATCCATGTCCAGTTCAACATCCAAGGCCTGGTCAAGGTCCAGGACCAGCTCCAGGACCAGATTCAGGTCCCAGTTCAGATCTGGATCCACATCCAGATTCAAGACCAGGTCCAGATCCAGGATCAGGACCAGTTTCAGGTCCAGGTCCAGACCAATCCCTGTTATGCCCTGCTCTAAACCCACCCCACAGGACTCTGGATGTCAGAGGCAGGTCCAGACCCAGACCCAGACCCAGACCCAGATCCAGATTTGGATCCAGACCCAGATCCAGATCCAGACCCAGACCCAGACCCTGACTCAGACCCAGACTCTGATCCAGATCCAGATCCAGACCCTGACCCAGACCCAGACCCAGATCCAGATCCAGCCCCAGACCCAGCCCCAGACCCAGACCCAGATCCAGACCCAGACCCAGCCCCAGCCCCAGACCCAGATCCAGACCCAGACCCAGCTCCAAATCCAGACCCAGACCCAGCTCCAAATCCAGATCCAGATCCAGACCCAGACCCAGACCCAGCTCCAAATCCAGATCCAGACCCAGACCCAGATCCAGACCCAGACCCAGCTCCAAATCCAGATCCATGCCTGGAATCCTCTGCTCCAAGGATTCTGAGGCCCTGTGACCTTGCTGGGGCTGCTTTGGGCTCAAACCCTGGGATTTTGGGATCGCTCCTTCCCCGGCCCAGCCCAGCGAGGCAGAGCCAGCCTGGAAATCCGATCTGCCTGGGCCAGCCCCTCCAGCTGCCCGCGTTCCTGCTCCCTCCAGCTGGAATTTCTGGCACTGACGGACTCGTGGCTGTTTTTCTTGGGTGTAACAACCCTCGGAATTATATTGGCTCTTTTCCTCGGTTTTCCTTTTTTTTTGTTCCCCATTTTTTTCTTGTTCAAACAGAAAAACAAAGCAATCCCAGGAGGCCAGGAGGGTTCACCTTCGGGAAGAGCCACGATTTTTAAGTCTTTTCCTGGAGTTTTTCGGGATGCAGGCACCACCCTTTGGATCTGAGAAGGTTGGGTTCAGGTGTATCCCTGGAAAATCCCATTTTTCATGGAAAATCCCCTTTTCCATGGAAAATCCACCCTCCTGCCCCCATCCCGCAGAAATCCAGGTCCTGATCCCTCCTGGGGATGGACACAGCAGGGAAGGATCGAAGCTGCGGATAATCCCTGCTGGAGCTGGGGCTGGAATTCCTCCTGGAGGATTTTTTTCCTCGTAAACCGGAGGAAAATCGTGGCTAAGTTTGGAAAAGCCCGGCCCAGGCAGGGCGGGAGCAGTGGTGCCGGGGAACCCAGGGCTCCCTCCATGGGGACAGACCAGGCTTAGATCCTGGTGGAGCTTTGGATCCAAGCCCGGCTCAGACTCGGGATGAATCCCGCATGGATCGATCCCATGGGATCATCCCCAGGTCCCAGCAGATCCCGTCTCCAGCACAGGGTCCCTCCCTCCACCCTGGAGCCAGACTTGGATCCAGGTCCAGGACCAAGCTGGGGTCCAGGACTAGATGCAGATCCAGGTCCAGACCCAAGGCCAGATTTCAGATCCAGACCCAGATCCAGGTCCAGTTTCAGGATCAGAATCAGGTCCAGGATCAGATCCACAACTGGGTTTAGGCCCAGTTCAAGGTTCAAGATCAGGACCGGATCCAGATCCAGGACCAGGTTCATGACCAGATCCAGATCCAGGACCAGATAAAGATCCAAGTCAAAATCCAGGTCCAGAGCCAGGTCCAGGACCAGGAGCAGATCCCGGTCCAGGTCCAGGTCCAGGTCCAGGTCCAGATCCAGATCCATTTCCATGCCCAGGTCCAGATCCAGATCCAGATCCAGATCCAGATCCAGATCCAGGTCCAGGTCCCACATGGATGGAGGTCACCTCCAAGGTTTGGATGTGTCCTCTGTGAAGGAATTCCCAAACTCCAGCCCAATCCCCACCTCCCAGAGGTGGGGAATGCTCACCCCAGGCATTCCATCCCCCGCTTCAACAAACATCCACCCCCTTGGACAACATGGATCCTGGAGACCTGGGGCTCACGGGGGACACATCCCAATTCCTCGGGATGGATCCTGGTTTCCCTCCCTTGATCTCCAGCTTTGGAGCCCAACTTGGCTCCATCCCAGCCTAAGGATGCTCAGGAATTCCTTAGCACCCGGATAAATCCATCCTGGATCCCAGGGAAGCGCAGGAAAGGATGGGACTGTAAGAGCCGAAATGAGGGATGTAGGGCTCCAGGCATTTTTCCCCCCCGTTATTTTTCCATTCAAATTCTTCGTTCCCATTGTCTTGGCTCCTGATTGTTTTCAGCTTTTGCGATTTGAGCCTCTGCAGGATGAGGGATAAAATCTGGGATTGGTTACATTGCATTATATACTTTTGTTTACAATGCATTATATACTTTTCTTTGGGTTACATTGCATTCTATACTTTTCTTTTGGTTACAATGCATTATATATTTCTCTTTTGGCTACAAATCCTTTACATATTTTTCTTTTGGTTACAATGCATTATATATTTTTCTTTTGGTTATAATGCATCATATACTTTTCTTTTGGTTACAATGCATTATATACTTTTCTTTTGGTTACAATGCATTATATACTTTTGGTTACAATGCATTATATGCTTTTCTTTTGGTTACAAATGCATTATATAGTTTTCTTTTGCTTACAATGCATTCTATACTTTTCTTTTGGTTACAATGCATTATATACTTTTCTTTTGGTTACATTGCATTATATACTTTTATTTTTGGTTACAATGCATTTCATATTTTTATTTTGGTTACAATGCATTATATACTTTTATTTTGGTTAAAATGCATTTTATATTTTTTCTTTTGGCTACAAATACATTATATACTTTTCTTTTGGTTACAATGCATGATATATTTTTGGTTACAATGGATTATATATTTTTCTTTTGGTTACAATGCATTATATACTTTTCTTTGCTGAGCATCTCAATACAGTAGAACCAATCTATACCTTAACTATTACCTACAGCCAATCATAACTACGGTAATTACCATATTCATGTCACTGTTCTCCAGTCACTAAAAGTTAGTACATTGCAGTTTAAGCTAGAAGTTGTTTTTCAGTTTTCTTGCAGTGGAAAATTCAGAGACCTTTTTTCTACTTGTTTGCCTGTGCTATTTTCCTGCTTGGTACAAACATCTTCTTGTTTGGGGTGGGTTTATCCTTTGCTCTAAGCCATACAAACCCCTTCTAACTCACACACCCTTTGCCTCCTTGGTTATCCAGTGAGACTGGCTCAGCAATTCTTTTATTCATATCAAAACTTGCTTCCATCTCTATTCCTTCATCAGACTCTACATTTAAAAGTCTTTCTGCCAAGCACAGATATCTGTGAGACTTCCTGGTCAAACTTTCATCCTTCCCAACATGGGACGGACTCTCTGGGGTCTCACAATCCACATCGGGATTGTGGAATTCTGCTGGAATTGGCTCATTTTGTGTCCTGCTCCCCATTCCAGGCCTTCCCGGGGAGCGGGGACTGCCCGGCCCGCGCGGACTGAAGGGGGACCCGGGAGAGCTGGGCCCGCGCGGCCCCGCGGGAATGCGGGGGCTCAAAGGTACGGACGCGGAATTCCGGGCGGGAATCCGGGATCAGACGGGCTCTGGAGATCCCGGGATGAGGGGCAGAGCCCTGGGAGCGGGACCGGGGCATCCTCTGGCTCGGGAACCACCCGGATCTCCTGGAGAAATGGGAATCCCAACAATTTCTGCTCCAACTGCCAAAAATTGGGAATCCCAACAATTCCTGCTCCAACCACGGAGGGAACGGATGGATTTGGGATGTCCTCCCATTCCATGGGGTTCCAACAGGGATTTGGGAATGATCTCCTGGTGTTTTCTGAGGCGTTCCTGGCCCGCTGTGGTTTCCCATCTTCCCAGGAAAACTGTGGGAGTAGGAAGTCGGGATTTAGCGGGACACAGCTGTCCCGGGACACCTCGGATGGGAAATTCCCAGCTGCAACCAAAAGCGGGGTTGAAAACCCCAAAAACGCTCTTTGTGCCTCAAAAATCCTGCTGGGGAGGCTGGAAGGGGAAACACCCTGGGAAGGGCTGGGAATTGCAGGGAACAGACACCTGGAGAGGATTGGGATTGGGATTGGGACTAGGATTCAGACTGGGTTTGGGATTGGGATTGGGACTGGGATTGGGATTGGGATTGGGATTGGGATTGGGACTGGGATTGGGATTGGAATTGAGATTGGGATTGGGATTGGGATTGGGATTGGGATTGGGATTGGGATTGGGATTGGAATTGGAATTGGGTTGGAAGGGACCTTAAAGATCCTCAAATTCCACGCCCTTCCACATCTCCCACTATCCCCAGTTGCTCCAGGAGGTTGGAAAACCCCTGGACACATCCCTGGAGCACCAGGAATGTCGGGATTTCCTCACTGGCTCATGCCGAGAGCTCCTTAAATGCAGAAAATGATCCCAAAATCCCTGGCTGGTTGGGTTGGGATTTGCAGACCCTGTGCTGGATTTGCTCGGCAAAGAATCCTGGAATTGTTGAGGCTGGAAAAGCTCTCCGAGTCCAACCACCACAATCCACATCTCCGAGTGCCACATTCCAATGGATTTTGATCCCCCGGGAATGGGGACTCCACCTCTGGTCTTGATGGTCCCTCAGGGCTTTTCCAACCTTAGCAATTCCATGAAAACCCCGAAGCCATTCCTGGGTCCCGTCCCCATCCCAGGGATCCCTGCTGTCCCCACTTCAATGCGTCCCCCACCCCAAAAATCAATCCCCACCTCCCTCCCCTCGGAGATCGGGAATGTCGGATCCCGGGGTTCATCCGACCCCTTTTCCAATGGAATTCCAGCCCCCCTGGCAGCGCTCGGGCAGTTTATGGGATTCTCTGGAATTTATGGGAAACAGACCCAGGCCCGGGCACGGATCCAAAGCCAAGCTTTGCCTTAAATCCCGGATTTCTGCAGGACCCTTCTCCAAGGACTTGGCAGGAGCCCTCGGTTCCTCGGGAATTGCATCCCAGGAATCCTGGGATGGGGTTTTGGATGTGCAGGAGCCTCCTCGTGGAAAATTCCAGGTTTAAACCTCTCCCAGAGTGGCTCCAACCTGGCAGAGGAAGGCCAGATTCCTCTGCCCTTTTCCCTCTTTGGTGTTTTCCCTTTTTCGATGGATTTTTTCCTCAAAATCACCCCAGTGGAGAATTTCTTTCCTCATTTCCAAACGGGAAAAATTATCCTGGGAAGTGAGGACAGGCCCACCCTCCCCACTTTTCCATGGAAAACGTCATGCAGGGAATGCACTCAAGAAGAAAGAGTGAGAAAAATCCAAGCTGGGATCGGAATTTTGGGATAAATTCGGGGGGATAAGAGAAGATTCCTTCCGGAACATCCCCAGGGTGGAGTTTTTTGGGAATGTTCACGGAGGCAGAACCTGGCAGAAACCCGGAAAAATGGGATTGGTGGATTCTCCTGGGGCTTTTCCAAGATTTTGGGATCCATCCATCCCTGTGGATCTGTGAGAGGAGCTGAGGGTCTCTGTCACTGTGTGTGGGCCTACATTTTGTGCCCAATCCCAAAAAAACTCCTGGGAAAACGGCCTGGAACGCTTTGATGGTGGATGGGGGAAAGCACCGGGCAGGACGGAGCGGGAGAGGCTTTTCCCGAATTCCCGGCTCTGTCCCAGCCCTGAGGCTCCCTCCAGGCTCTCAGGGAATTGGATCTTGGGAATTTTTGCGATCTTCTCCAGCCCCAGCACCAGAGTCACCGAGTTATTCCCACTGGAAAATTCCAGGGAAGGAGGGAAGGAAGGAGGGAAGGAAGGAGGGAAGGAAGGAAGGAAGGAAGGAAGGAAGGAAGGAAGGAAGGAAGGAAGGAAGGAAGGAAGGAAGGAAGGAAGGAAGGAGACAGAGAAGCTGTGGCTGCCCCCAGATCCCCGGGAGTGTCCCAGGAAAGGTTGGAGCACCCCGGGAATAGCGGGAGGTGTCGGGGCTGGAATGGGATGGGATTGAGGGTCCCTTCCCACCCAAACCATTCCAGGATTCCCGGATTGCTGCTGCTGCTCTCGGAGCAGTGACAGACACCAGGAAAAGCTGGGGATTTGGGATTTCGGGATGGGAATCCTCTTCCACATTCCATGATCCCAGGGTGATCCAAATACACTCTTGGACACTGCCAGGGATCCAGGGATTCTCTGGGAATTCCGGACTGCAGGGAGGGTCTGCCTTCCTTTTTCCATCCCCGAATTCCATTTAAATCCCTTGGGATGGATCCCGAGTGTCCTTGATCCCAGAATCCCAGAATGGTTTGGGATGGGATCCAGGGACCTTCAATCCCATCCCAGGGACACTTCCCACCATCCCAGGGCGATCCAAACCCACCCTTGGATGCTCCCAGGGATTCTCTGGGAATTCCAGCCCAGCCAGGAATCCCTTCCCAAGATCCCACCATCCCAAGCTCCCCTTTCCCACTGGAAGCCATTCCCTGCCTCCTGCCCCTCCAGCCCTTGCCCAAATCCCAGCTCTCCTGGAGCCCCTTTGGGATGGGGAAGCGGCTCCAAGGATTCCCTGGATCCTCCCCTGATCCAGCTGCACGTTCCCAGCTCTCCCAGCCTGGGATTGGATCCAGCCCCATCCCATCTCCTCCTTAAGAAGGAATTTTGGCATCCAGGGATTCTCTGGGAATTCAGGACTCCAGGAAGGGTCTCCCTTCCCTTTTCCACCCCCAAATTCCATAAAAATCCCTCAGGATGGATCCTTAGTGCCCTTGATCCCAGAAACCCAGAATTCCTGGGATCACTCCACCCTCTCCCCCACCCCATTTTGGGGACGAACCCCCCCAAAACCCGGCACTGTCGCTTCCCAATCCCGATTCCTGCATGTGAGGAGCCGGGGCCGCTCCGTGATCCCGACCCCGTCCCGAGGCGGGAGCCGCATCCCTGGCCCCGTTCCCGGGAATTTCCATCTGGATCCCATCAGCTCCGTCCCACACAGCCCGCGGGAGCGATCCCGCTCTCCCAGGGAACGGGCGGGAATTTCCTGCCCGGCTCGGCCCTGTTGGGATCGTTTCCCATCCCGTGTTTTCCTTTCTCCCGGATTTTCGGGCGTTGTTTGTTGTTCCTGGAGCATCCCTGAGCCTTTCCTTGGGATCGGGCCAGGCCTGGCCAAGCCGGGATCGGCAAATCCGGGCCTGGAAAAGCCGGGAATGAGGGAGGAGGAGGCGCCCGGAGAGCCAAGGAGTGTCCGAGCTCGTTAGTGAGGTCATTAACGGGAGATTAAACCGTGATTGGGATATGGAATCATTCCCGGGATATGGAATTATTCCCGGGATATTAAAGCATGACTGGATATGGAATAATTCCCGGGATATGGAATCATGATTGGGATATTAAACCGTGATTGGGATACTGAATAATTCCCAGGATATTAAACCATGATTGGGATATTGAATAATTCCCAGGATATTAAGCCATTATTTGGATAAGGAATCGTTCCCGGGATATTAAACATGATTGGGATATGGAATAATTCCTGGGATATTAAATCATGATTGGGATATTGAATAATTCCTGGGATATCAAACCATAATTGGGATATGGAATAATTCCCCGGATATTAAATCATGATTGGGATACTGAATAATTCCCAGGATATTAAACCAATATTGGGATATGGAATCATTCCCAGGATATCAAACCATGGCTGGGATATTGAATCATTCCCGGGATGTTAAACCATGATTGGGATATTGAACCATTCCCGGGATATGGAATCATTCCCTGGATATCAAACCATGGCTGGGATATTGAATCATTCCCGGGATATTGAATAAGACCCAGGATATTAAACCGTGATTGGAATATTGAACCATTCCCGGGATATGGAATCATTCCCTGGATATCAAGCCATGATTGGGATATGGAATCATTCCCAGGATATTAAACCATTATTTGGATATGGAATTGTTCCTGGGACATTAAACATGATTGGGATATGGAATAATTCCTGGGATATTAAATCATGATTGGGATATTGAATAGTTCCTGGGATATCAAACCATAATTGGGATATGGAATCATTCCCAGGATATTGAATAATTCCCGGGATATTAAACCATAATTGGGATATGGAATAATTCCCTGGATATTAAATCATGATTGGGATATGGAATCATTCCCTGGATATTAAACCATGACTGGATATGGAATCATTCCCGGGATATTAAGCCATGATTGGAATATTGAATAATTCCCAGGATTTCAAAGGGGCAGGAATGTTTATCCCCCCGGCATTGCCCTTTTCCATGGACACCATTCCATGATTTCCTGGTGCTCCCTCAGAGATTTGGGAATTCCCAGCCCGAACCCCAAATGAGGCGTTTTTAGCCCCAAACAGGGTTTTCCACCCCCAAATCGGGAATTTCATCCCAAAATCCAGGTGGGATTTATGGGATCTGCAGTCAGGAATTCCAGGAGCGCCAGGCCTTTGTGTTCCCTCCGCCGCAGGACGCGTTCCCAGAGGATTTTTAGGATTTCCCATTTTTGGGAGCAGGGATGGGAAATGGGATACTGGGAGTGAGGGGGTTTTGGGGAATTTATGGGGTCTGGAGGGGTCAAAGAGGGATGGGAATTTCTGGGAACTTATAGGAATTTATTGGGATTTCTGGGGGTCCAGGGACATCAAAGAGGGATGGGTATTTCTGGAAATTTCTGGGATTTTCTGGGTATTTATTGGGATTTCTAGGGGTCCAGGGGGAATCAAAGAGGGATGGGAGTTCCTGGGAATTTCTGGGGATTCCTGGGAATTTCTGGGGATTTCTGGGAATTTCTGGGGATTTATGGGGGTCCAGGGACATCAAAGAGGGATTGAAATTAATGAGGATTTATGGGATTTATGGGAATTTAGTGGGATTTATGGGGGTTCAGGGGTATCAAAGAGGGATGGGGATTCCTGGGAATTTATGGGAATTTCTGGGGATTTCTGGGAATTTATGGGAATTCCTGGGGGCTGTGGGGGTCTCAATGCACCCCCAAATTCCATCTCCCTTCTTCCCAGGCGAGCGCGGCCCCAAGGGGGACAAGGGGGACCGGGGGGACCGAGGAGCGGCCGGTGGCACCGGTGAGTTCCGGGCGCTCCCCACGGAGACCCCGGCGCGGAATTTGGGGGGATTTTTGGGAATTGGGAGCCCGGGGAGGGGAAATTCCTGATGGAAAGAGGAATTCCTGATGTTGGGAAAACCATCCCGAGGTTCTCCTGCAATTCCAGGGACATCTCAGCCTGGGGACATTCCCCATGGAATTGCAGGGACATCGCTCCTTGGGGACATCCCTGCCTAGGGACATCCCACCTTGGGGACATTCCCCCTGGAATCCCAAGGACATCCCTGGGGACACCATCCCTGGAGATGCCACCATGGATGATGCCAGCTTGGATGATGTCAGCTTGGATGACATCACCATCCCTTTGAGACGCCACAATCCCTGGGGATGTTGCCATGGATTATTCCACCGTGGATGACATCACTGCGGATGACATCACTGTGGATGATGTTCACCATGGATGATGTCACCATGGGTCATGCCACCATGGATGATGTCACCATGGATGATGTCACATGGATTATGTCCCCATGGATGATGTCACCTTGGATGATGTCACCTTGGATGACGTCACCATGGATGACGTCACCATGGATGATGTTCTCCATGGATGATGTCACTGTGGATGCTGTCCCCAGGGCTGACATCCCCATGGCTGACATCCCCATGGCTGCTTTCCCCATTGCTGATGTCCCTACGGCTGATGTCCCCACAGCTCCTGTCCCCAGGGCTGTTGTCCCTGGTGTCTGATGCCCCCCGGCTGCTGTCCCCACGGCTGACGCTGCCATGGACGACGTCGCCATGGGTGCTGTCCCCACGGCCATGGCTGCTGTCCCCATGGCTGACATCCCCACCGATGCTGTCCCCTGTCCATCCTGCCATCCCGCAGCTCCGTCCGAGGGCTCGGTGCGGCTGCTGTCCCCCTGGCTGCTGTCCCCGTCGCCATGTCTGCTGTCCCCACCCCCCTGGCTGCTGTCCCCTTGTCCCTCCTGGTGTCCCCAGCTCCATCCGAGGGCTCGGTGCGGCTGGTGAACGGCTCCTGTCCCCATGTTTACTGTCCCCATGTCCATCCTGCCGTCCCCATGTCCATCCTGCCATCCCCATGTCCATCCTGCTGTCCCTCCTGGTGTCCCCAGTTCCCTCCGAGGGCTCGGTGCGGCTGGTGAACGGCTCCTGTCCCCATGTCCCTCCTGGTGTCCCCATGTCCATCCTGCCATCCTCAGCTCTGTCCGAGGGTTCGGTGCGCCTGGTGAACGGCTCCTGTCCCCACATTTGCTGTCCCCACATTTACTGTCCCCATGTCCATCCTGCTGTCCCCATGCCCATGTTTACTGTCCCCACGTCCCTCCTGGTGTCCCCATGTCGATGTTTACTGTCCCCATGTCCATTCTGATGTCCCCCTGTCCATCCCCAGGTCCGTCCGAGGGCTCGGTGCGCCTGGTGAACGGCTCCTGTCCCCATGTCCATGTTTACTGTCCCATGTCCCCATGTCCATCCCGCAGTTCCATCTGAGGGCTCGGTGCGGCTGGTGAACGGCTCCGGGGGCCACATTTACTGTCCCCATGTCCCTCCTGGTGTCCCCATGTTGATGTTTACTGTCCCCATGTCCATCCTGCTGTCCCCATGTCCCTCTGTCCATCCCGCAGTTCCCTCGGAGGGCTCGGTGCGCCCGGTGAACGGCTCCTGTCCCCATGTCCATGTTTACTGTCCCCATGTCCATCCCGCAGTTCCCTCCGAGGGCTCGGTGCAGCTGGTGAATGGTTCCTGTCCCCATGTCCATCCTGGTGTCCCCCTGTCCATCCCGCAGTTCCCTCCGAGGCCTCGGTGCGCCTGGTGAACGGTTCCTGTCCCCACATTTACTGTCCCCATGTCCCTCCTGGTGTCCCCATATCCATCCTGGTGTCCCCCTGTCCGTCCCGCAGTTCCCTCCGAGGGCTTGGTGCGCCTGGTGAACGGTTCCTGTCCCCATGTCCATCCTGGTGTCCCCCTGTCCATCCCGCAGTTCCCTCCGAGGGCTCGGTGCGCCTGGTGAACGGTTCCTGTCCCCATGTCCATCCTGGTGTCCCCATGTCCATCCTGATGTCCCCCTGTCCGTCCCGCAGTTCCCTCCGAGGGCTCGGTGCGCCTGGTGAACGGCTCCGGGGCCCACGAGGGGCGCCTGGAGATTTTCCACGAGCGGCGCTGGGGCTCCGTGTGCGACGACGGCTGGGACGGGCGGGACGGGGACGTGGCGTGCCGCATGCTCGGCTACCCCGGCGCCGCCGACGTCTTCCGCATGGCGCGCTTCGGACAAGGTGCCAACAACGGGAACGGGACTTGGGATCGGGAACGGGATTCGGGATTGGGAATGGGATTCGGGATGGGGAACGGCTCCTCAGGACCGGGAACGGGATTTGGGATCGAGAATGGGATTTGGGATTGGGAATGGGATTCGGGATTGGGAATGGGATTCGGGATGGGGAACGGCTCCTCAGGACCAGGAACGGGATTTGGGATCGAGAATGGGATTTGGGATTGGGAATGGGATTCGGGATTGGGAATGGGATTCGGGATGGGGAACGGCTCCTCAGGACCAGGAACGGGATTTGGGATCGAGAACGGTATTCGGGATTGGGAATGGGATTTGGGATTGGGAATGGGATTTGGGATGGGGAACAGCTCCTCAGGACCAGGAACGGGATTTGGGATCGAGAACGGTACTCGCGATTGGGAATGGGATTCAGGGTGGGGAACGGCTCCTCAGGATTGGGAATGGGATTCGGGATTGGGAATGGGGTTCAGGATTGAGAACAGCTCCTGTGGGATTTGAGAACGTATCCTCAGCATTGTGAATGGCTGCTCGGGGTTGGGAACGGCTCCTCGGGATTGGGAACGAGATTCAAGATTTGGAATGGGATTCAGGATGGGGAACGGGATTCAGGAATAGGATTTGGGATTGGGAACGGCTCCTTGGGACCAGGAATGGGATCAGGAACGGGATCAGTAACAGGATTTGGGATTGGGAACGGGATTTGGGATGGGGAACAGCTCCTGTGGGATTTGGGAATGTCTCCTTGGGATTCGGAATGGCTCCTATGGGATTTGGGATTGGGAACAGCTCCTCGGGATCAGAAATGGGATTTGGGATTGGGAGCGGTTCCTGTGGGATTTGGGAACAGATCCTCAGGATTCGGAATGGGATTCAGGATGGGGAACGGGATTTGGGATGGAGAATGGCTCCTGTGGGATTTGGGAACAGGATTTGGGATTGGAAACGGCTCCTCAGGGTTTGGAAGAGCTTCTTAAGATCCTGGGGAACAGCTCCTGTGGGATTTGGGAACGGCTCCTCGGGATCCCAGGGAATGGCTCCTTGGGATTGGGAACAGGATTTGGGATTGGGAACGGCTCCTCGCGATTGGGAACTGCTCCTTGGGATTTGGGAACGGCTCCTCGGGATCCCAGGGAATGGCTCCTCAGGACTGGGAACAGCTCCTGTGGGATTGGGAACTGCTCCTGTGGGATTGGGAACAGCTCCTGTGGGATTGGGAACTGCTCCTGTGGGATTTGGGAACGGCTCCTGTAGGATTGGGAACTGCTCCTGTGGGATTTGGGAACGGCTCCTGTAGGATTGGGAACAGCTCCTTGGGATTTGGGAACAGCTCCTGTGGGATTGGGAACTGCTCCTCTGGGATTGGGAACTGCTCCTGTGGGATTGGGAACTGCTCCTGTGGGATTTGGGAACGGCTCCTGTGGGATTGGGAACGGCTCCTGTGGGATTTGGGAACGGCTCCTGTGGGATTGGGAACGGCTCCTGTGGGATTTGGGAACTGCTCCTGTGGGATTGGGAACTGCTCCTCTGGGATTGGGAACGGCTCCTGTGGGATTGGGAACGGCTCCTGTGGGATTTGGGAACGGCTCCTGTGGGATTGGGAACTGCTCCTGTGGGATTGGGAACTGCTCCTGTGGGATTTGGGAATGGGTCATCGGGATCCCGGGGAACGGCTCCTTGGGTTTCAGGAATGGCTCCTGTGGGATCCCGGTAATTCTGTCCTGGGGACATCCCTGTAATTCTGTCCGTGTCCGTGTGTCTGTCCGCAGGCACGGGGAAGATCTGGATGGACGACGTGTCCTGCTCGGGCACCGAGGAGTCCCTGGAGCTCTGCAGCTTCTCGGGGTGGGGCCGGACAAACTGCGGCCACGCCGAGGACGCCGGAGTGCGCTGCCGGACAGACTGACAGCGACCGGACAGACTGACACCGACTGGTCAGACTGACACCAAACAGACAGACTGACAGCGACCAGACAGACTGACACCAACTGGACAGACTGACAGCGACCGGACAGACTGACACCGACTGGTCAGACTGACACCAAACAGACAGACTGACACCAACCGGACAGACTGACACCAGCCGGACAGGCTGACACCAAACAGACAGACTGACACCAAACAGACAGACTGACAGCGACCGGACAGACTGACACCGACTGGACAGACTGACAGCGACTGGACAGACTGACACTGACCGGACAGACTGACACCAAACAGACAGACTGACACCAACCGGACAGACTGACACCAGCCGGACAGGCTGACACCAAACAGACAGACTGACACCAAACAGACAGACGGACAGCGACCGGACAGACTGACACCAAACGGATAGACTGACACCAACCAGACAGACTGATACCAGCCGGACAGACTGACAGCGACCGGACAGACTGACACCAAATGGACAGACTGACGCCAGCCAGACAGACTGACACTGATCGGACAGACTGACACCAAATGGACAGACTGACGCCAGCCAGACAGACTGACACTGATCGGACAGACTGACACCGACCGGACAGACTGACACCATAACCCATCCATAAAAGGGGCTGATCCAAAATCCGTCCCATCCCATAGGGACGGACACCAAACCCACCCTACAGGAGAAATCCCAAATCCATCCCAAAAGCGACTGACCCCAAAGACATCCCAAAGGGACTGACACTAAATCCATCCCATAAAGGGAATAACCCCAAATCTATCCCATAAGGGACTGACCCCAAACGCACCCCAAAGGAGAAATCCCAAATCCATCCCAAAAGGGAATGACCCCAAAACCACCCCAAAGGGACTGACCCCAAACCCCCCCCATAACAGACTGACCCCAAAATCCACCCCAAAAGGGACTGACCCCAAACCCGCCACAAGGGACTGTTCTATAACCCACCCCAAAGGGACTGACCCCAAATCCATCCCAAAAGGGCCAGGAACTGACCCCAAATCCATCCCCTAATGGACTGACTCCAAACCCGCCCCCAAGGACTGACCCCAAACCTGCCCCGAAAGGGAAATCCCAAACACAACCCAAAAGGGACTGACCCCAAACCCACCCCAGAGGAACTGACCCCAAGGGACTGACCCTAAATCCATCCCAAAGGGAAACTCCAAACCCGCCCCAAAGGCAAATCCCAAATCCATCCCGGAGGGGAAATCCCAAACACATCCCAAAAGAGAAAATCCCAAATCCATCCCAAAGAGACTGGGGAGAAATCCCAAACCCATCCCAAAGGAAAACCCCAAACCCATCCCAAAGGGGCCAGGGGTGATCCCAAAAAGGACGACCCCAAATCCATCCCAAATCCCCATCGCAGCCCGGATCCCAGGAATGGGATCGTTCCCAGAGAAATAAAGGATTTGTTTTTCTCCACGTGGGGTTATGGGATTTATGGGGTTTTTTTTGGTTTATGGGGTTTTTTTGCGTTTATGGGGTTTATGGGGTTCATGGGGTTTTTATAGGGTTTATGGGAGGTTATGGGGTTTTATGGGGTTTTATGGGGTTTATAGGGTTTTAGGGGGGCTTATGGGGATTTGTGGGGTTTTTTGGGATTTTATGGGGTTTTATGGGGTTTTGGGATTTATGAGGTTTATGGGGATTTTGGGGTTTTATGGGGTTTAATGAGGTTTTATAGAGTTTACGGGGTTCATGGGGTTTTTACAGGGTTTATTGGGTTTATGGGAGTTTATGGCAGGTTATGGGGTTTATGGGTTTTATGGGATTTATAGGGTTTTGGGGGGACGTATGGACTTTATGGGGTTTTGGGGGATTTTATGGGGTTTATGGGGCATTCATGGGGTTTTATGGGGGCTTAGGACATTTATGGGATTTTTATTGGGGTTTTATGGGCATGTATGGGTTTTTATGGGGTTTTAGGGCATTTATGGGGATTTATGGGATTTAATCTGGTTTATGGGGTTTATGGGATTTAATGTGGTTTATGGGGTTTATGGGGTATTTATGGGGTTTCCTGGGGGTTGAGAGGGATTTATGGGGTTTTATTGGCTTTTATGGGATTTATGGAGTTTATGGGGTTTTGGGGGATTTTATGGGGTTTAGGGTGTTTTTTGGGGTTTAAGGGGTTAATGGGGGTTTATGGTGTTTATGGGGTTTAATGGGGCATTATGGGATTAATGGGGTTTATGGGGTATTTCGGGGTTTTATAGGGGTTTGGGGTATTTATGGGGTTTTATTGGGGTTTATGGGTATTTATGGGCTTTTATGGAGTTTATGGGGGTTTATGGGGGTTTTATGGGGTTTTATGGACATTTACGGGCTTTTTATGGCATTTATGGGGTTTTATGGGGGTTTAGGGGGATTTTTGGGGTTTATGGGGTTTAGAGGTATTTTTGGGGTTTTTATGGGGTTTTCGGGCATTTATGTGTTTCCACCGACCCCCCCCACCGCCCCCCTAAATTCTTGGCCACCCCCTCTCCCCTTTTTGACCCTTCCCAGCCCCACGGAGCCCCCGGAGCGCCCCAAATCCCCCGCGCCGCTTTTGGGGCCGCCCCAAACCCCCCCGGGACCGCCTCAAGCCACGCCCACCCTGCGCTGGCCACGCCCCCCACACGGCGCGCTCGGATTACGTCACCCCGCCAGCGCTCGGCCACGCCCCCAGCTCTGATCACGCCCCTCGCGGGTCTGGCCACGCCCACATCCCCGCCCCCTCGCGCCATATTTGGTGTTTGGCCACGCCCCCAGGGAGGGGCGGGGCCGGCGCGAGCGCGCGCGCGGGGTTCGAACGCGGCGCCCGAAAACGGCCGGAAAAGGCGGGAAAAGGATCCCGGGATTCCCCGGGAATTTCCTTGGGATCGGCACCGGGAAAAGGATCCCGGAATTCCCGGCGCTCGGCGGCCGCAGCCAGCGAATCCCGGAGCGAGGTGGGACCGGCGGCTCTTCCTGGGAACCCCCGGAGCTGGGATCGCCCCCCAAATCCTGGGATTCCCCCCCAGTTCCCAATTCCCAACCCCGGATCCCCATCCCTGTGTTGGGATCCTCCCCCGCGCCACAATTCCCCAATCTGGGATCCCCCAGCCCGGGACCATCCCAGTTCCCGGGGCCGGGATTTCGGGGATCTCCCCAGTTCCCGGATCTGGGACCTCCCAAATCACGGGACTCCCTAAATTCCCAAACGGGGGAGCCCCCATGTCCCAAATCTAGCTCCCCCCCCCCCCACCCCCAATTCCCAAATCCAGCCTCCCCCAGTTCCCAAATATCCAGCCCCCTCAATTCCCAAAATTTCCCCAATTCCCAAAATTTCCCCCAATTCCCAAATCCAGAATTTCCCCAATTCTCAAATTCAGCCCCCCCCCCCCAATTCCCAAATCCAGGATTTTCCAATTCCCAAATCCAGCTCTCCCCAGTTCCCGAATCCAGGCCCCCCCAGTCCCCAAAATTTCCCCCAATTCCCCAAATTTCCCTGAATTCCCAAATTCGGGACCCCCTAATTCCCAAATCCTGGTCCCCCCCAATTCCCAAAATTTCCCTCAGTTCCCAAAACAGGCCCCTGCAATTCCCTATTCCCAAATCCAGGATTTCCCCCAAATCCAGCTCTCCCCAGTTCCCAAATCCAGGCCCCCCCCCCCCAATTCCCATAATCGGGACCCCCCACTTCCCAAATCTGGGATTTCCCAATTCCCAAATCCAGGCCCCAGCAATTCCCAAATCCAGGATTTCCCCAATTCCCAAAATTTACCCCAATTCCCAAATCCAGACCTCCCCAACTCTCAAATCTGGGATTTCCCAATTCCCAAATCCAGGATTTCCCCAATCTCCAAAATTCCCCTCAATTCCCAAATCCGGGATTTCCCTAATTCCCACAATTTCCCCCAAATCCAGCCCCCCCCCCCCCCCCCCCCACTTCCCAAATCCAAGATTTCCCCAATTCCCAACATTTACCCCAATTTCCAAATCTGGGATTTCCCAAAATCCAAAATCCAGGCCCCCCCAATTCCCAAAATTCCCCCCAGCGCCATTGGGGTCCCTCATGTCCCCTCGTTCCCCGCAGGATCGGGATCGGGATTGGGATCGGGATCGGGATCGGGATCGGCTCCATGGACACCTTCCAGTCCCCGACGCCCTCGGCACGCCGGGACAAAGCCGGTGAGGAACAGCGGGAATGGCCTGGAGTGATCCCAGAGGGATTGGGATGGTCCCAAAGGAATGGGAATGATCCCAAGGGGATGGGAACGTTCCCAAAGGGATTGGGATGTTCCCAAGGGGATCGGGATGTTCTCAAGGGGATGGGAACATTCCCAAAGGGACTGGGATATTCCCAAAAGGGATGAGAACATTCCCAAAGGGTTCCGGATGTTTCCAAGGGGATCGAGATGTTTGATCCTGGAACGCTCCCAAAAGGGACTGGGATGTTCCCAGAGGGATTGGGATGTTCCCAGAGGGATCGGGATGTTCCCAAAGGGATCAAGATGGTCCCTGAGGGATCAGAATGTTTGACCTCGGAATGTTCCCAGAGGGATGCGGATGGTCCCAAAGGGATCGAGGTGTTTGATCCCATAATGTTCCCAAACGGATCAGGATGTTGCCAAGGGGATGGGAATATTCCCAAAGGGATCAAGATGGTCCCAGAGGGGTCGGGATGGTCCTGAAGGGATCAGGAGATTTGATCCCGGAATGATCCCAAAGGGATTGGGATGGTCCCATGGGGGTCAGGATGGCCCCAAAGGGATCGGGAAGTTTCCAGAGGGATTGGGATGTTCCCAGGGGGATGGGAATTGTCCCAAAGGGATTGGGATATTCCCAAAGGGATCGGGATGGTCCCAAAGAGATCGGGATGTTCCCAGAGGGATCAAGATGGCCCCAGAGGGATAGGGATATTTGATCCCAGAATGTTCCCAAAGGGTTTGGGATGTTTCCAAAGGGATCGGGATGTTCCCAAAGGTGTCGGGATGTTCCCAAAGGGATGGGATATTTCCAGAGGGTTCGGGATGTTTGATCCCAGAATGATCCCAAAGGGATTGGGATGGTCCCAAGGGGATCGGGATGTTTAGTCCCGGGATAATCCCAAAGGGATGGGAATATTCCCAAAGGAATTGCAGTGTTCCCAAGGTGATGGGAATATTCCCAAAGGATCGGGATGGTCCCAGAGGGATGGGGAGGCTCCCAAAGGTGTTGGGATGTTTCTAAAGGGATCAGGATGATCCCAAAGGAATCAGGATGTTCCCAAGGGGATGAGAGTGTTCCCAAAAGGATGGGGATGTTCTCAAAGGGATTGGGATGTTCCCAGAGGGATGGGATATTTCCTAAGGGATTGGGATGTTTGATCCTGGAATGATCCCAAAGGGATCGGGATGTTCCCAAAAGGATAAGGATGTTCCCAAGGGGATGGGAACATTCCCAAAGGGATCAGGATGTTCCCAGAGGGATCGAGATGGTCCCAAAGGAATGGGGATGACCCCAAAGGGATTGGGATATTTCCAAAGGGATCGGGATGTTCCCAAAGGGGATGAGAGTGTGCCCAAAAGGATAGGAATGTTCCCAAGGGGATGGGAATATTCCCAAAGGGATCGGGATATTCCCAAAGGGGTAAGAATATTCCCAAAGTGACTGGAATGCTCCCAAAGGGGTTGGGATGTTCCCAAAGGGTTTGAGATGTTCCCAAAGGGTTTGCCAGACCCCAGGGGCTGTTCCAGGGAACGCCCTCATCCCAAACCCGGGATCACAAACGGGAAAGGCCTTGGAAGGATCCCGGGATGAATTCCAGAGGCTGTTCCAAGCCCTGTCCGACCTTTCCTGCAACAATCCCAGAGATTCCTGGGAAAACTCAGCCCGTCCCTCCCCCTTCCTCCTCCTCATCCTCATCCTCCCGGTTTTATCCCTGAGCACATCCAGGTGGGAAATCCCTGGGATCAGCTGGGATTGGTTTTCAATCCCCATTTCCCATCCCCATTCCTGTTCCCATTCCCATCCCAGATCCAATCCCTGCTTCCCATTCCCGTTCCCATCCCCATTTCCCATTCCCGTTTTCCATCTCCATTTCTCAGTCCTGTTTCCCATTCCCGTTCCAATCCTCGTTCCCATTCCCGTTTCCCATTTCTGATCTGCATTCCCATCCCTGTTTTCCCATATCCATTTCCTGTCCCTGCTCCCATCCCCGTTCCCATTCCCATTTCCATCCCCATTTCCCATTGCTGTTCCCATTCCTGTTTCCCATGCCCATCCCCATTTCCCGTTCCTATCCCAGCTCCTTTTTGTGCTTCCTGGAATTCCCCTTTGGAATTGGGGCTGGATCTGCGGGATCTCCGTTTTCTAGGGAACAAACTCCTCCAGGGAACGGAGCCAAAATTTGGGAAAACACTGTGGGGGTTGGAAGGAGCTTTCCTAAAAATCTGGGTCAGGAACAGGTTCAGAGCATCCCGTGGGAATCATGGAATATTTTGGGCTGGGAATTCTGACCATTCCCAGTTCTGCCAAGGATCTGCGACCCTGAAATCCCCTGGGATTTAAATCCTGCAGGGAATGGGGACTCCAGGGCTGAGAATTCCAGACAGGATCTGTTCCCAAAATCCAAATGAACTTTCCCAGGAAGTTTGAGGCCGTTCCCTCCCATCCTGTGGGTGATTCCTGAGGAGCAGATCCAGGATTTCCCCTGGGATCAGCAGATCCCATTCCAAGTTGGATTTTCCTGTAGGATCAGCAGATCCCAATCCCAGTGGAGTTCCTGTAGGATCAGCAGATCCCGATCCCAGCGGGATTGTCCATGGGATCAGCAGATCCCGACCCCAGAGGGGTTTCCCATGGGATCAGCAGATCCCGTTCCAAGTTGGATTTTCCTGTAGGATCAGCAGATCCCAATGCCAGGGGGATTTCCCATGGGATCAGCAGGTCCCGATCCCAGTGGGATTTCCCATGGGATCACCGGGAATTGTCCCTGCAGAGCCCGGCCCCATGTCTGTGACCATCCCGGCCTCTCCCTTCATGCAGAAGTTGGGATTCGGCACCGGAGTCAGCGTCTACCTGATGAAAAGGTTGGGAATTGCTATCCTGGGAAATCCCAGAGGTGATCCTGGTTTTCCTCCCTGTGGATACGGAGCCGAGGGAGGGATTTGGGAATTGTGGAGTGGGGAAGGAACGTGGAGTTTTGGGATAACCCTGTCCCGGCTGGAATTGTGGGATTTGATCTCCATTATTTTGGGATAACCCTTTCCCAGCTGTAATTTCAGGATTTTGGGCTCCATTATTTTGGGATAACCTTGCCCAGTTATAATTCCGGGATTTGGGGCTTCATTATTTTGGGATGACCCTGTCCCGGCTGGAATTCCAGGATTTGGGCTCCATTCCTGGGAATTCTGGGATTTCGGCTCCATTATTTTGGGATAACCCCATTGGTCTTTCCGTGGATGGAATTCAGGGATTTGGGGCCATTCCTGGGATAAATCTTGGCTGGAATTCCAGGGATTTGGGGCTCCATGATTCTGGGATAACCTTGTCCCAGCTGGAGTTCCAGGATCTGGGCTCCATTCCTGGGAATCCAGGATTTTGGGCTCCATTATTCTGGGATAACCCTTTCCCAGCTGTAATTCTGAGATTTTGGGCTTGATTATTTTTGGATAATGCTTTCCCAGCTGGAATTCCAGGGATTTGGGCTCCATTCCTGCGAATTCCAGGATTTGGGCTCCATTCCTGGGAAGTGCTAGATTTTGGGCTCCATTATTTTGGGATATCCCATTCCCAGCCGGAATTCCAGGGATTCAGGCTCCATTCTTTCAGGTTAACCCATTCCCAGCTGGAATTCCAGGGGTTTAGACTCCATTATTTCGGAATAACCCTGTGCCGGCTGGAATTCCAGGGCTTTGGGCTCCATTCTTGGGAATTCTGGGATTTGGGCTCCATTATTTTGGAATAACCCTGTCCTGGCTGGAATTCAGGGATTTTGGACGCCTTTATTTTGGGATAGCCCTTTCCTGGCCGGAATTCCAGGACTGGGCCCCATTCTTGTGACTTCCATTATTTTGGGATAATCCTTGCCAAGCTGTAATTCTGGAATTTGGGACTTCATTATTTTGGGTTAACCCTGTCCTGGCTGGAATTCCAAGATTTTGGGCTCCAGTATTCTGGGATAACCCTTTCCCAGCTGTAATTCCGGGACTTTGGGTTTGATTATTTTTGGATAACGCTTTCCCAGCTGGAATTCCAGGGATTTGGGCTCCATTCCTGCGAATTCCAGGATTTGGGCTCCATTCCTGGGAAGTGCTAGATTTTGGGCTCCATTATTTTGGGATATCCCATTCCCAGCCGGAATTCCAGGGATTCGGGCTCCATTATTTCAGGTTAACCCATTCCCAGCTTGAATTCCAGAGGTTTAGCCTCCATTATTTCGGGATAACCCTGTCCCGGCTGGAATTCCAGGGCTTTGGGCTCCATTCCTTCCCTCCACCAGCCCCACCTGGAAACGGGATCGGATAAAAATTCCCTTTCCCCGAAAATTCCGCGGAGGGATTCGCAGCATTCCCGTCCCGCGGCGGGCGGATCGGATCCCCTTCCCGTTGGGAATTCCGTGGCAATTCCCGCGTTTTTCCCGGGCAGGTCCCCGCGGGGGCTGCCGCGCTCCCCGTGGGCCGTGAAGAAGATCAACGCCGGCTGCTCGCAGAGCCAGCGCAGCCTCTTCCAGCGGAGGCTGCGGGAGGAGGCGCGGACCCTGCGGAACCTGCGGCACCCCAACATCGTCGGTGCGCGTTCCCGGGAACGGAGGGGCCCGATCCCACGGGAATGGAAGGGTTGGGTACATTGGGAATGGGGTTGGATCCACGGGAATGGAAATGGATTTGATTGGAATGGGGTTGGGTACATCGGGAATGGGGTTGGATCCACGGGAATGGAGGGGTTGGATTTGATTGGAATGGGGTGGGGTACATTGGGAATGGGGTTGGATCCATGGGAATGGGAATGGATGTGATGGGAATGGGGTTGGGTACATTGGGAATGGAGGAATGGATCCCTTGGGAATGGGGTTGGACGTGATGGGAATGGGGTTGCATACATTGGGAATGGGGTTGGATCCATGGGAATGGAGGGGTTGGATTTGATGGGAATGGGGTTGGGTACATTGGGAATGGAGGGATGGATTTGATGGGAATGGATCCACGGGAATGGAGGGGTTGGATCCATGGGAATTGGTTGGATCCACTGGGAATGGAGGGGATTTGATGGGAATGGGGTTGGATGTGATGGGAATGGGGTTGCATCCATTGGGAATGGGAATGGATTTGAAGGGAATGGGGTTGGATCTGTGGGAATGGAGGTGTTGGATTTGATGGGAATGGAGGGATAAATCCATGGGAATGAAGGAGTTGGATCCATTGGGAATGGAGAGATGGATCCAAGGGAATGGGTTTGGGTACATTGGGAATGGAGGGGGTGGATCTGTGGGAATGGAGGGATGGATCCGTGGGAATGGAGGCGTTGGATCCGTTGGGAATGGGGTTGGATCTGTTGGGAATGGAATTGGATTTGTTGGGAATTTGGTTGGATCTGTGGGAATGGAGGGATGGATCCATTGGAAATGGAGGGTTGGGTCTGTTGGGAATGGGGTTGGGTACATTGGGAATGGAGGGGGTGGATCTGTGGGAATGGAGAGGTTGGATTTGTTGGGAATGGGTGGGCTGGATTTGTGGCAATGAGGGGACGGATGCATGGGAATGGAGGGGTTGGATCCATGGGAATAGAGGGGGAGATGAGGGGGATCCGGGATTGGGGAATTCCAGACCTCCCAGTGCCTCTGGAGTTCCCAGGGAAGCCGGGGCTGCCCCCGGATCCCTGGGAGTGTCCAAGGATGGATTTGGAGCTCCCTGGGATCAAGGGAGGGCTCAGGGTTGGACTGGGATGGGACTGAAATCCATTAATCCCATCCAGAACATTCCATGATTGTGGTTGCCATCCCCATTCCCATCCCATTCTCACGGATCCCATTCTCATTAATCCCATTCCCATGGATCCCACAGCTCCGATTCCCATGAATCCCATTCCCACTCCAATGGATCCCATTCCTACAGCTCCCATTCCCACGGATCCCATTCCCATGGATCCAATCCCATTACCATTCCCACAATTCCATTCCCATTCTCATGGCTCCCATTCCCATTCCCAGAAATCCCATGGCTCCCATTCCTATGGATCCCATTCCCACAAATCCCATTCCCATGGATCCCATCCCCATGGATCCCATCCCATTGCCATTCCCATGGATCCCATGGCTCCCATTCCCACTGATCCCATGGCTCCCATTCCCAGTGATCCCATTCGCACGGATCCCATGGCTCCCATTCCCATAGATCCCATTCCCACAGCTCCCATTCCCACAGATCCCATGGATCCCATCCCAATCCCAAGGATCCCATTCCCACCCCCATTCCAATTGTCAGGGATCCAATTCCCATGGCTCCCATTCCCGTGGATCCCATTCCCACGGATCCCATTCCCATTCCCATGGCTCCCATTCCCAGTGATCCCATTGCCATTCCAGGGTACCGGGCGCTGACGAAGGCTCCGGACGGGAGCCTCTGCCTGGCCATGGAATTCGGGGGGGAGAAATCCCTGAACGACCTCATCGAGGAGCGCCGGGAGCAGGGCCTGGGAATGTTCCCGGCAAACACCATCCTGCACGTGGCCCTCAGCATGGCCAGGGGCCTCCAGGTACCGGGAAAATCCCAGGGAAATCCCGGAATTCTGGGGAAACCCTGGGAGTTCTGGGAAAGTCATGGGATTCCGAGAAGATTCTGAGATTCCAAGGAAATCCTGAAAATCTGGGATAAAGGGGAGCCAGAGGGGCTGTCTAGATGCTGGGATAGGGATGGGGATGGGTGGGATCTTGGGAGGGATTTCCCGGCTGGGCTGGAATTCCCAGAGAATCCTGGGGAAAGTCCAAGGAAAGGTTGGAGTGGCCTGGGATTGGGGTTGGAATGGGGTGGGATTGAAGGTCCATCGATCCCATCCCAAACCATTCTGGGATTCTGGGATCAAGGGCACTCAGGATCCATCCTGAGGGATTTTTATGGAATTTGGGGATGGAAAAGGGAAGGGAGACCCTTCCTGGAGTCCTGAATTCCCAGTGAAGGCCCTGGATCCCAAAATTCCTTCTCAGGGAGGAATTGGCATGGGGATGGATCCAATGTCAGGCTGGGAGAGCTGGGAATGGAGGGAATTCCTAGGAAAGGGGAGCTTGGGGTGGGATTTGGGAAGGGATTCCTGGCTGGGCTGGAATTCCCAGAGAATCCCTGGGAGAGTCCAAGGAAAGGTTGGAGCGGTCTGGGATTGAGGTTGGAATTGGATGGGATGGGATTGAAGGTCCATGGATCCCATCCCAAACCATTCTGGGATCAAGGAATTTTTGTGGAATTCGGGGATGGAAAAGGGAAGGGAGACCCTTCCTGGAGTCCTGAATTCCCAGGGAAGCCCCTGGATCCCGAAATTCCTCCTCAAGGAGTTGGGATGGGGCTGGATCCAACCCAGGAGAGCTGGAGGGGGATTTGGGAAAAGGGCCTGGAATGGCAGCACAGGGAATGGCTCCCACCATGGCCAGAGGGTCGGGATTTTGGGATCTTGGAAAGTAATTCCCATTGGGGCTGGAGTTCCCAGAGAATCCCTGGCAGTGCCCAAGGAGCGGCCGCAGGATTGGGCTGATCCATGAGATCCCCCAACCCACGGATTCCGAGCCACCCCCGAGGTTTTGAGGCTGGATCCGGGATTTGTCCTTGGTCTGAATTCCCGGCATTCCCGGGGTTTCCCGCAGTACCTGCACACGGAGCAGCGGCTGCTCCACGGCGACATCAAATCCCCCAACGTCGTCGTCCGCGGCGCCTTCGAGACCGTCAAGATCTGCGACGTCGGCGTCTCCCTGCCCCTGGATGAGAACCTGACAGGTGGGAACCCGGGAATGCCCGGGAATGGGGGATCCCCGTAAATTGGTATGGAGTGTGGGACTCCCATCCCACGGATCCCATTCCCAGCATCCCTTTGATCCCTGGATCCTGTGGCAGTGAGTGATCCCCTTCCCAATCCATTCCCATTCCCAATCCTGTCCCTGATATCCCGTTATCCCGCTGCAGTGAGCGATCCCATTCCCAATCCTAAAATCCCTTTGATCCCAATATCCCGCTATCCCTCTGCTGCTGCTGCAGTGAGCAATCCCATTCCCAATATCCTGATATCCCTTTGATCCCATCATTCCCAATTTGTTCCCTCCGCTCCTTCAGCAGCGAGCAATCCCGATCACATTCCCAATCCCATTCCTGAAATCCCTTTGATCTCATTCCCATTCCCAATCCCAATATCCCAGTCCTGATATCCAGTTGATCCCGATTGGTCCCTGTTATCCCTGTGCAGTGAGAAACCCGTCCCTGTACTGCGTGGCCAATCCCAAAATTCTATTGATTCCATTATTCCAAATACGTTCCTGTTATCCCATGGCAGTGAGCGACCCCTCTCTCTCCTATGTGGGCACAGAGCCCTATATCCCTTTGATCCCATTATTCCCGATTTATTCCCGTTTTTCCTTCGGCAGTGAGCGACCCCTCGCTGTGCTACGTGGGCACGGAGCCCCATATCCCATTGATCCCATTGATCCCATAATTCCCGATTTATTCCCGTTTTTCCCTGTGCAGTGAGCGACCCATCCCTGTGCTACGTGGGCACGGAGCCCCATATCCCATTGATCCCACTGATCCCATAATTCCCGATTTATTCCCGTTTTTCCCTGTGCAGTGAGCGATCCCTCCCTGTGCTACGTGGGCACAGAGCCCCATTGATCCCATTGATCCCATTGATCCCATATTTCCCGATTTATTCCCGTTTTTCCCTGTGCAGTGAGCGATCCCTCGCTGTGCTACGTGGGCACGGAGCCCCATATCCCATTGATCCCATTGATCCCATTGATCCCGTTATTCCCGATTTATTCCCGTTTTTCCCTCGGCAGTGAGCGATCCCTCGCTGTGCTACGTGGGCACGGAGCCCCAAATCCCATTGATCCCATTGATCCCATTATTCCCGATTTATTCCCGTTTTTCCTTCGGCAGTGAGCAACCCCTCCCTGTGCTACGTGGGCACAGAGCCCCATTGATCCCATTGATCCCATTGATCCCATAATTCCCGATTTATTCCCGTTTTTCCCTGTGCAGTGAGCGACCCCTCGCTGTGATACGTGGGCACGGAGCCCCATATCCCATTGATCCCATTGATCCCGTTATTCCTGATTTATTCCCGTTTTTCCCTCGGCAGTGAGCGATCCCTCCCTGTGCTACGTGAGCACAGAGCCCCATATCCCATTGATCCCATTGATCCCGTTATTCCCGATTTATTCCCGTTTTTCCCTCGGCAGTGAGCGATCCCTCCCTGTACTATGTGGGCACGGAGCCCCATATCCCATTGATCCCATTGATCCCGTTATTCCCGATTTATTCCCGTTTTTCCCTCGGCAGTGAGCGATCCCTCCCTGTGCTACGTGGGCACGGAGCCCCATTGATCCCATTGATCCCATTATTCCCGATTTATTCCCGTTTTTCCCTCGGCAGTGAGCGATCCCTCCCTGTGCTACGTGGGCACAGAGCCCCATATCCCATTGATCCCATTGATCCCATTATTCCCGATTTATTCCCGTTTTTCCCTGTGCAGTGAGCGATCCCTCCCTGTGCTACGTGGGCACGGAGCCCCATATCCCATTGATCCCATTGATCCCGTTATTCCCGATTTATTCCCGTTTTTCCCTGTGCAGTGAGCGATCCCTCCCTGTGCTACGTGGGCACGGAGCCCCATATCCCATTGATCCCATTGATCCCGTTATTCCCGATTTATTCCCGTTTTTCCCTGTGCAGTGAGCGACGCCTCCCTGTGCTACGTGGGCACGGAGCCCCATATCCCATTGATCCCATTGATCCCATTATTCCCGATTTATTCCCGTTTTTCCCTCGGCAGTGAGCGATCCCTCGCTGTGCTACGTGGGCACGGAGCCCCATATCCCATTGATCCCATTGATCCCGTTATTCCCGATTTATTCCCGTTTTTCCCTCGGCAGTGAGCGATCCCTCCCTGTGCTACATGGGCACGGAGCCCCATTGATCCCATTGATCCCATAATTCCCGATTTATTCCCGTTTTTCCCTCGGCAGTGAGCGATCCCTCGCTGTGCTACGTGGGCACGGAGCCCCATATCCCATTGATCCCATTATTCCCGATTTATTCCCGTTTTTCCTTCGGCAGTGAGCGATCCCTCGCTGTGCTACGTGGGCACGGAGCCCCATATCCCATTGATCCCATTGATCCCATTATTCCCGATTTATTCCCGTTTTTCCCTGTGCAGTGAGCGACCCCTCCCTGTGCTACGTGGGCACGGAGCCGTGGTCGCCGCCCGAGGCGCTGGAGCCGGGCGGGGCCATCTCGGACCGCGCCGACGTCTTCGCCTTCGGCCTCACGCTCTGGGAGATGCTGGCCCTGAACGTGCCCCACCTGCCCCCGCTCCGCGACGACGGATCCGACGGTACCGGGAACACAACGGGAATGCCAGGAATAACGGGAATGCCAGGAATTACAGAGAGGGAACAGGCGCGGGGAAGGGATCCGGGGAGTGCTCGGGTGGGAAAGGGGCTTTGGGATTTGGGGAAAGGGGAATGGGATGGGATGGGATGGGATTCCCACTGGGAAAGGGGAGCTTGGGATTGTGGGATCTCGGGAAGGAATTCCTGGCTCAGCTGGAATTCCCGGAGGATCGCTGGGAGTGTCCCAGGGTGGATTTGGATCACCCCGGGATGGTGGGACTGGAGTGGGATGGAATTGAAGGTCCATGGATTCCATCCCAAACCATTCCGGGATTCTGGGATCAAGGACACTCAGGGTCCATCCCAAGGGATTTTTATGGAATTTGGGGATGGGAAAGGGAAGGGAGACCCTTCCTGTAGTCCTGAATTCCCAGGGAAGCCCCTGGATCCCAAAATTCCTTCTCAAGCAGGAATCGGGATGGAGATGCATCCAGTGGCAGGCTGGGAGAGCTGGGAATGTGCAGCTGGATCAGGGGAGGATCCAGGGAATCCTTGGAGCCGCTTCCCCATCCCAAAGGGGCTGCAGGAGAGCTGGGATTTGGGCAAGGGCTGGAGGGGCAGGAGGCAGGGAATGGCTTCCAGTGGGAAAGGGGAGCTTGGGATGGTGGGATCTTGGGAAGGAATTCCTGGCTGGGCTGGAATTCCCAGAGAATCCCTGGGAGCATCCAAGGGTGGATTTGGATCACCCTGGGATGGTGGGAAGGGTCCCTGGGATGGGATTGAAGGTCCAGGGATTCCATCCCAAACCATTCCGGGATTCCGGGCTCAAGGACACTCAGGATCCATCCCGAGGGATTTTTATGGAATTTGGGGATGGGAAAGGGAAGGGAGACCCTTCCTGGAGTCCTGAATTCCCAGGGAATTTCCTGGATCCTGAAATTCCGTCTCAAGGAGGAGTTGGGATGGGGCTGGATCCAACCCAGGAGAGCTGGAGAGGGATTTGGGAAAAGGGCCTGGAATGGCAGGAAAGGGAATGGCTCCCACCATGGCCAGCAGGTCGGGATTTGGGGATCTTGGGATTTTGGGATCTTGGGAAGGAATTCCTGTCTGGGCTGGAATTCCAGAGAATCCTGTGGGAGTGTCCAAGGAAAGCTTAGGACCCTGGGAACATCAGGAAGCGCCAGGCTGGGATCAGCGCAGGATTCCTGGGATCTGCTCCCTGCCGCCATTGCAGAGGGTTGGGATTTTGGGATCTTGGGGTTTTGGGATTTTGGGAAGGAATTCCTGTCTGCGAGGGTGAGGAGGGGCTGGGCTGGAATTCCCAGAGGATCCCTGGCAGTGTCCAAGGAAAGGCTGAGATCACCCTGGGTACATCACGAAGCGCCGTGCGGGGATTCTCCGGATCCGTTGCCAATGGCTGCTCCTTCCCCGGATTCCAGAGGGTTGGGATTTTGGGATCTTGGGGTTTTGGGATTTTGGTAAAGAATTCCTGGCTGGGAAGGTGAGGAGGTGCAGTGTCAGCATCACTCTGGGAAGTTCAGGAAACGCCGGGCTGGAATTGGGGCCGGGATTCCCGCTCCCCTGCCGCCATTCCAGAGGGTTGGGATTTTGGGGTTTTGGGATTCTTGGATTTTGGCGTTTTTGGATCTTGGTATCCCAGAAGGGAATTCCTGGCTGGGAGGGTGAGGAGGGGCTGGGCTGGAATTTCCAGAGAATTGCTGAGAGTGCCCAAGGAAAGCTTGGGATCGCTCTGGGTACATCAGGAAGCGGCGGGCTGGGATGGGGCCGGGATTATTCCCGGTACCCGCTGCTGACGGCCGCTCCCTCTCTCTCTGTCTCCCCGTCCCTCCTTCCCGTTATCCCAGAGGATTCGTGCTCGGAGGATTCCCTGGACGAGGCCGCGTACCAGGCCGCGCTGGGGTCGCGGCCGCCGCTGCCCGCGGAGGCGGCGCGGGAGCCCTCGCAGCGGCCCGTGCGGGAGCTCTTCTGCGCGTGCACCGCCCGCGAGCCCCCGCGGCGCCCCCCGGCGGCCACCATCGTCACTGCGCTGCTGCAGCTGCGGGAACAGGAACAGCAGCCGGGGGGAGAGCGGGAATGAGGGGCGGGATAACGGGGTGGGAATGATGAGGGACAGCGGGGATAGCCGGGATAACACAGCGGGAATGAGGGGCGGGGGACAGCGGGAGTGAGGGATGGGATAACAGGGCGGGAATGCCCCCGCAGGGGCCCGTGCCGGAGCTCTTCTGCGCATGCGCCGCCCGCGGCGCCCCCTGGCGGCCACCGTGGTCACTGCGCTGCTGCAGCTGCGGGAATGCCGGGAACGGGAGAGCGGGAATGAGGGATGGGATAACGGGAATAATGCCGGGAGAGTGGGAATGAGGGACAGGGAACAGCTCGGGAATGATGGGATAACAGAGGGGGAATGACGGGATAACACAGCCCTGAGGGAATAGCCGGGATAACACAGCGGGAATGAGGGATGGGGGAGAGCTCGGGAATGCCGGGATAACACTGCGGGAATGATGGGATAACAGCCCTGAGGGGAGAGTGGGAATGCTGGGAGAGCGGGAATGATGAGGGATAACGGAGCAGGAATGAGGGATGGGATAACGGAACAGGAATAGTTGGGATAACAGAGCGGGAATGACAAGGAATAACAGAGCAGGAATGATGGGATCACACAGTGGGAATGAGGGATGGGATAACGGAACAGGAATAGTTGGGATAACGGAGTGGGAATGACAGGATAACCACGGAGTGGGAACAGCTGGGAGAGCAGGAATGATGAGGGAATGAGGGACAGAGTGGGAATGCCGGGATAACAGAGCGGGAATAACGCCAGGAGAGCAGGAATAGCCAGGATAACACAGGAGCGGGAATGATGGATGAGGGACAGCGAGAACGCCGGGATAACACAGCCCTGAGGGACAGTGGGAATGCTGGGAGAGCGGGAATGATGAGGGATAACGAGCAGGAATGAGGGATGGGATAACGGAACAGGAATAGTTGGGATAATAACAGAGCGGGAATGACGGGATAACAGTGGGAATGACGGGATAACAGAGCGGGAACAGCAGGAGAGCGGGAATGATGAGGGACAGAGCGGGAATGACGGGATAACGGAGCGGGAATGACGGAATAACAGTGGGAATGAGGGATAACAGAGCGGGAACAGCCAGGAGAACGGGAATGATGAGGGACAGAGCGGGAATGTACGGGATAACGGAGCGGGAATGGCCGGGAGAGCGGGAATGATGAGGGATAACACAGCGGGAACGATCGGGATAACAGAGCCCTGAGGGGAGAGCGGGAATGCCGGGATAACTGACGATGGAGCGGGAATTCTGGGATAACACAGAATTCTGGGATAAGGGAGCAGGAACTCTGGGATTGCGGAGTGGAAATTGTGGGATAACAGAGCCCTGAGAGACCTGGATAACAGAGCGGGAATTCTGGGATAACGGAGCGGGAATTCCAGGACAATGGAGCCCTGAAAGACTGGGATGGCTGAGTGGGTGACAGGGATGGAATTCTGGAATAACGGAGCTGGAATTCTGCGATAACGGAGCGGGAATTCCTGGATAACAGAGCCCCTGAGAGACCGGGATAGCGGAGCTGGAATTCTGCGATAACGGAGCGGGAATTCCTGGGATTACAGAGCCCAGAATTCCAGAGCCTTGAGAGCCTGGGATAATGGAGAAGGAATTCCACAGCCTGAGAGACTGGGATTACGGAGCTGGAATTGCTGGGATTATGGAGCTAGAATTCCCAGGATAATGGAGCTGGAATTACTGGGATTATGGAGCTAGAATTCCCAGGATCATGGAGCTGGAATTGCTGGGATTATGGAGTTGGAATTGGTGGGATTATGGAGTTGGAATTCCCAGGATAATGCAGCTGGAATTGCTGGGATAACAGAGCTGGAATTCCTGGGATTACGGAGCTAGAATTCCCAGGATCATGGAGCTGGAATTGCTGGGATTATGGAGCTGGAATTGCTGGGATTATGGAGTTGGAATTCCCGGGATAATGGAGCTGGAATTGCTGGGATTATGGAGCTGGAATTCCCAGGATAATGGAGCAGAATTCCCAGAATTCCAGAACCTGACACCTCCTCCCACTTTCCCAGAGCTTGATATTCCCAGATTTCCAGGATGTGGCTCTGGAGCCTGACATTCCTGGAATTCCAGAGCCCTGACATTCCCAGATTTCCAGCAGGATGTGATTCCTGACGTTCCTGGAATTCCAGGGCCTGAAACTCCTGGAATTCCAGAGCCCTGACATTCCCGGATTTCCTTTCTTGTCGGAGTTTCCCTCTTTTTTGGGTCAGATTTTCCTCCTTTTCCAGTTGAGATTTTCCCACTCTGGGTTTGGATTTTCCCTCTTTTTTGGGTCAGATTTTCCCAAATTTTCAGGTGGATTCCCTCAGGTTCGGAGTTGGATTTTCCCTCTTTTTTTTGGGCTGGAATTCCCCAAGTTTTCCCATTGGATTTCCCCCCCTATTTCAATTGGATTTTTCCCTGTTTTTAGGTTGAATTTCCCACTCTTTGGGGTTT